AGATCATTCAAGGTCTGGAGTTCCAGACCAGCCTGAGCAAGAGTGAGACCTGTCTCTACTAAAAATAGAAAGAAATTAATTGGCTGAGTAAAAATATAAAGAAAAAATTAGCCGGGCATGGTGGCACATGCCTGTAGTCCCAGCTACTTGGGAGGCTGAGGCAGGAGGATTGCTTGAGCCCAGGAGTTTGAGGTTGCTTGGAGCTAGGCTGAGCCATGGCACTCTAGGCGGCAACAGAGTGAGACGCTGTCTCAAAAAAAAAAAAAAAGCAAAGGAAAAAATATGGAATTCATAATCAGCTATTCCAATTATGTGTGTATGTGATTTTTTTAATTTATAGAATTGAGATCATATTATGCACTAATGCTTTATAACTTCTTTTTATACTTAATATGTTATAGTCAGTAATGTATATTACTGTTATACTTTTACATTATGTATTTTACAATACAATCAGTTTATATCGATGGTTGCATTCTTCTAGCTAAATAGTTGGCTGTTGACTGTTTTTATTCATTTAACCTTTAAAAGGAGAGTAGAGAATCACCTCCGTGATGGGATGAGTGTGATAGAGTTTTTGAGATGTCCGGTCTTGAAGTTTTGTAATAAGTGGCTTTGCATAAAACATCGTTATCTTGATACTGTAACTTGTGGTCGTAGAATTATATCAGGTGTCTTTTTTGTAGAGTGTCATTGGATCTTTTGGGTAGATGCCCAGTAATGGGATTGCTAGATCAAATGGTAGATCTACTTGTATCGCTTTGAGGTATCTCCATATTGCTTTCCACAGAGGTTGAACTAGTTTGCAGTCCCACCAGCAGTGTAGGAGTGTTCCCCTCTCTCCGGATCTACGCCAGCATTTGTCGTTTGGGGACTTTTTGATAAAGGCCATTCTCACTAGAGTTAAGTGATATCTCATTGTGGTTTTCGAACTCCTGACCTCCAGTGATCTGCCCACCTCGGCCTCCCAGAGTGCTAAGATTACAGGCGTGAGCCACCTCGCCCGGCCTCTCATTGTGGTTTTGATTTGCATTTCCTTGATGATTAAAGATGTTGAACATTTTTTTTATATGTTTGTTAGCCATTATTCTGTCTTCTTTTGAGAAGTTTCTGTTCATGTCCTTTGCCCATTTTTTGATAGGGTTGTTTGATTTTTTTTCTTGCTGCTTGTCTTGAGTTCTAAACAGATTCTAGTTATCAGCCTTTATCAGATGTGTAGCTTGCAAAAATTTTCTTCCATTCTGTGGGTTGTCTGTTTGCTCTCTTGACAGTTTCTTTGGCTGTGCAGAAGCTTTTTAATTTGATCAGGTCCCATTTGTTTATTTTTATTGCTGTTGTGATTGCCTTTGCGGTCTTCTTCATAAAGTCTTTGCCTAGGCCAATGTCTAGAAGGGTATTTCCAACATTTTCCTCTAGAATTCTAATAGTTTCACACCTAAGGTTCAAGTCTGTTATCCAGAGTGAGTTGATTTTTTGAGAGGTGAAAGGTGTGGGTCTTGTTTCAGTCTTCTACATGTGGCTATCGAGTTTTCCCAGCACTATTTATTGAATAAGGATTCTTTTCCCCAGTGTATGTTTTTGTTCCCTTAATATTTTAACTCTTATTCTTTTTCCTTGCCTCTTCTTTATAACTTTATCTAAATATATTTTTACAAATTTTTCTTTATATCTCATCTTGTTTTCTACCGATGTAGACTTTCTTGTCTTATATAAGGGAAAGATATTTTTTCTAACCTTGATACTTTCTTTTGTCCTTTTCCCCCATGTGGCTGAGAAGTATTTTGAGGCAGTTTCTATACTGGCAAAAGCATATTTGAGAGTTTCTATTTAAGGGCATTGTGTTCTTTCAGCGTGAAAACATATGAGAAAGGCTATAAATTTCATATTACATTGCTCGTAAAAACTGTATTTATATAAAGTTACAGTTGTATGTTATTGAAATGGAAATCTCTTGGTTCAGAGTGGAGAGGGTCTTATTTTTAAATGTTTGTTGATGTAAAGATGGTATTCAGTGAGTAGAGTTCCACAAGGATGATCTTCAGCAGTGGCTCTAGATACATGCTGTCCTATATAGTAGCCACTAGCCCCATGTAGCTATTTGAGCACTTGAAATGTGGCTAGTCTGAATAGAGATGTGCTATAAGATATACACTGGATTTTTCAAGACAGTATAAAAAATAATGTAAACTATTTTGTTCATAATTTTATTTCATATTGATTTCTTGTCGACATTTTGCATATGTTGGGTCAAATAAAATATAATTAATTTTACCTGTTTCTTTTCACATTTTATAACGTGGCTACTAAAATATTTAAAATTGCCTCTGTGCCTTGCATTTGTGGCTCGCATTATATTTTTCTTGGACAGTGCTGTGCTAGCTGATTAAATGTTGTTTTGCTTATATTATCCTTTCTGATCTAACATCTTAATTGTATTCTAAGAATTTCTTTATAATATTAACTTGTTTTCAAGATGTTTGTGGTTTTAGAGTTTTATACATTTTTCACGTTCTTAAAAGAAACTTTTCTCGAATCGCTGACTATGATGAAGATCCAAATTCAAAACAAAATGTAATTAGTGGTAGTCTGCAGTAAATTCAGTACATATAAGGAAGGTTGGTCTTTTAACTATATGCACTGTCCTAATCAGGTGGAATAGAATCACAGGATTGTTCTTGTAGATAAGCGTTCTGTCATTTGAGCCTAAGGACTGGATATGTTCTTACAGTCATTGGACCTTGTCTTCCCCACAAGACTAATCTTCCCCTTTTAACCAATTTTGTTAATACTTATCCTAACTTACCTACGTATTATTTTAAAAATCATTTTGTTAAAAATGTTTAACATCATGCACTTATTGGTACTGCATATCAATGTAACATTTAGGTTGACCAAATTGATTGCCAAATGCAAATAATTTTATATTGTTAAGATTATTCCTCTTCACCTTTTTTTTGGGAAAATTTTTGAACCTTCAGTAAAGCTGAAAGAATAGTGCAATGAATACTTATATACCACTTAACCCAGATTTCATCACATTAACATCTTATATATGCTTTTGTTCTCCCTCACTATATGTATATGTCTTTGCTCCCTTCTTCCTTAGTTTTTGGCTGAGCCATTTGGAAGTAAAGTTGTTGATGACATTACCCTTCACCTCCTTAGTATTTTACATTACCTAAATATTTCAGAACGTATCTTTTAATGAAAAGGGGATTTGCCTCCATAACGATAATACTGTTATCACATGCAAGGAACATGAATAAAATAATGTCATATAATGATATTACATGTTCATATGCAAATATAGATTCTTTTTTTAAATGCATCTGATTGTCATTTTTCTTTAAACTCCTCTTATCTAGTATAGTCTCTCAGTTGTCAAAAAAAGCTGCTCAGTCTCGAAAAATTGTCTCTCACTTGTCTTTTAGAATGTCTTACAGTCTGAAAATTTGTTCGTAAGATTTAGGTTCAACATTTTTAGCAAGAATACTATATAGGTGTTATAATGTTTTATAGGATTGTTAATTTTCAAATCCTATTTTATATGATTGATTTCATTTTTATCACAAAGCCAAAACTATCATCCAGGAATTGGAAAGAAAGAATAATTTAGAGCATTATTTAACATTGATATTTATTATAATAGGACACTACTAGAATATCCTGTGCATTTTATCTTTAGACTTCTTTTTGCAAAGGACAATTTTTTCTTTATGTTAATGAATTATTTAAAATATGGATTGAAATTGAGATTAATTTTGGATTTATACTATTATATGTGAGCTAATCTGTAACATGAATTTCAGTTACGCTAAATGGAGAAATTCTGCTGTATTTAGAAGTTTGCCTGCCTTCTGGTATTCTTTCTTGACATTATTTCCCCAACTTTTTAGGAAAGTTTCAAACATTCAGAAAATTTAGAAAAATAGTACAGTGAACACTTTATATCCTCTACTTAGATTTGATCATTGTTAACATTTTGCCATAGTTGCGCGCGCTTGCATATTCTCTCTCTCTCTCTCTTTCTGTCTCTCTCTCGTGTGTGAGTGAAATTTTTTCTTAATCTTTTCAAAGTAAGTTACACATATCATAGCATATTACCTTTACATACTTTAGCAAGTATTTCCTAATAAGGAGATTCTCTCACATATTGTTGATATTGTTATCATACCTAAGAAAATGATAAGCAATTTCATAATATCCATTACCCAGTTCATATTTAAACTTCTATAGTTATCTCTTTTATAGCTACTTTTCTGCTTTATCTCTCCATCCCCTGTCCTGAAGCTAGGATTCAGTAAAGGTTCATACATTAGCATATTTGGTTTTTAAATTAGTAGTTTAATTTTAGATAAGTATGTGCCATTCGTTATTTACATTTACCATTAAATTCAATTAAAGATTTTATAAATCTTGCTAAAATTACATTGACTTATTGCACCTTTTCTTTGTAAATATAGATTAGTCATCATAAGCATGTGTCATATTTTTAAAGAAATTAAAACTTTGTATTGGAATTTTATCTTTTCATTTCCACAGATATTCCAAATGCCTTGGTTGGCACTGCATTTAATGTTGATGATGGAAATGGTGGCTTTGTAGTTCATTGGTTAAACAACAAGGAATTTCATTTTACATCATCTACTGAAATATTTATGCATCAATTACGAAAACTTTCTGAAAAAGAGGTAGATCATGAAAGTGATGATGCAGATAGAGAAGATGAGGAACATTCACAAGAGGAAAAAGAGAGGGGTTTACATATGAAATTAGACCATGGTTTGTATCTTGTGTTCAGATTTTTCTTTCTCTAAAACTAATAACTTTCTGTGGTACCACTTTTAGTTTGGACTTTTTCCTTCCAGCTCCTCCTTTTTACATTTCTGTTCATTCCACAAGTATTTAGTGACCATCTGCCATGGACCAGACACTGTTAGCTTCTGCAAACATCACCTAATTCTGTATATTTTGTCATAACATGTTATTAATACTTTGAATAACATATTACTCTGGAAGCCATATCCTTTTTTGGGGAGTAGATTTTGCTACTGGTAATAATAATGATAGTGTGAATGAAGTTTTGATTTATCTACAAGTAAGAAATATAATAATTTTTAATTCAGACAAAATAGTTTTGTTCTTTTATTTTTTCCCTGACCCTACATTGGAAAAGGGATTTATAGTTCCTAAAGATAGTATACCATTTATTGATAGTATGTAAATAAATCTTATAGTATTTAACGTATATACTAATAAATATATTTTCTGGTTCAGATTTATCCTTGGATAGAGAATCTGAGGCAGGTACAGGATCATCAGAACATGAAGATGGCGAAAGAGAAGGAAGTCCTAGAACCTATTCACGACCTAGTGTACCAATGCCACTGCCTACAGTTCTGCTTGATCGGAAGATTGAAATGCTGCTAACTGAATGGAATAAGAATCCCGACATGCTTTTTACAATACACCCTGTAGATGGTACCTTTCTAGTGTGGCATGTAAAATATTTGGATGAATATAATACTGGAATATTTAGACAAGTCCAGGTATATTTTATTGATGAAGCAATTATTATACTTTTTGGAATAGTATAAAGATTACATGCTATGTAGTTTTAGCAGGTTTTTAGAATTACAAAAAAAAATTAATTTTGATAAGCAACTGAGAAAAGAATACTTTTTCTTGCTTCCAAAGTGGACCAGTGACCATACATTTTTCAAAGTTGGTTAGTTTGAAGAAAATGAATTTGACTTTGAAATGTAATACTGAATATTTGAATATATATGAGTTGATTTTTCTGGGAATTCATAACATTTTGAATATAACTTAAGAAATTACCCTAAAAATATAACTCAGCATGAGTCCTCCCTCACCCTCAGTTTTATTAGGTAAATCAAGCTACCTTTATCTGTTATTTTTCTCAACTATATTGCTATTTAGATCACATGGCTGTGGTCATTTTGATGTACAAGCAAGGCACTTGAAACTTATTTTTTCTTCAGTCTTCTCTTACGCCATGTATACAGATATTATATTACATAAATAGAAGAAAGAGATTAGACCATAAAGAGGTTTAAAATGGTATTTTTTGTTAGGAAGCTAAGATTTGGTTTTTTGAAAATAGAAGTGTTTTTGGAAGACTATTTTTGAGAGGAGGCAAACTATTTACAGTGAATCATATAATTGTGTTTTTCAGGTTTCATTTTCTTCTCGGATTCCTGTTGCATTTCCCTCTGGTGATGCAAGCTCTCTCAGTAAAAATATCATGATGTATGCCTGTATAAATGCTACAAAAGATTCTCACCACACTCTCTTACACCAAGAGATGATGTCTGTAGGCAGTCCTCACAGATCACAGCCACACTCTAGATCACACAGTACAAATATGAACATTATATCTCCCACAGTAATGATGGTCTCTAAACACATAGATGGTTCTTTAAATCAGTGGGCAGTCACTTTTGCTGATAAATCTGCCTTTACCACCGTACTGACTGTATCTCACAAATTTAGATATTGTGGTCATAGATTTCACCTCAATGACTTGGCATGTCATTCAGTTTTACCACTGTTATTGACATCATCTCATCATAATGCTTTGTTGACTCCGGAATCAGATTGTCAGTGGGACTCAGAAAATAAGTTAAGTAGATTAATGGATCCTGTAAAACATTTAAAAGGCTCCTCGAAACAACCTCTTAGAAATGCAGCAACCCGTACATTTCATGACCCAAATGCAATCTACAGTGAACTTATTCTGTGGCGTGTAGACCCCATAGGACCTTTGTCATACACTGGAGGAGTATCAGAATTGGCTCGGATTAACTCTTTACATACCTCAGCCTTCTCTAATGTGGCTTGGCTTCCAACTCTTATTCCTAGTTATTGTCTTGGTAAGTGTTCATTCTATTGTAAAATTAACAAACTACCGTTCGTTATACACAAATGGTTTATATTTGTCATTATTAAGATGATTTTTAATGAGTATTCATTAATGAGACTTACTTTTAGAATTTTTAGAAGTTTTAAATCTTTTCCTTCTCATAATCTATTTTTTATTGACTTTTTTGTTCATAAGTTTCTGTCCATTCATGTATCTGTTTAATTCTGATTCTAGACCATGGTTATGCCTAAAAAGAAAAGCATGAATATTTGTTTCTCATACTTCAGCCAATAACAAAAATAAACTATGCCATTATAACCCAAAGCTCTTATTTTCCTTTCTCAGGAACATACTGCAATTCTGCAAGTGCTTGCTTTGTTGCTTCTGATGGCAAACATCTGAGACTCTATCAAGCTGTGGTAGATGCAAGGAAATTACTGGATGAATTGTCAGATCCAGAATCTTCAGTAAGTATTATAATAATCTTTATTAATATATCTAAACTGATAAGGAATTCTCTTTTAACTTTGTCTAGGACCTTTTTTGTTGGTTGCTATTTAAGGAGTAAGCATATGTTCTGGAATCTATATGACATATATATGACAATTTACTTTTTCTTATTTGTTTCTAAGTATAGGAATCAAAATTTTAGTCTACATATCACATATCAATATATTTTACATATAAAGAAATAAAAATGATGTTTTTTCTCAAATGTTATTTATTCCTAATATTTTTCACTCTTTAGTTTGGTTCTATTAATGTTAGTTTGCTCAAAAAAAGATTTTAAGGCATATTTACTAAGCCGTATGTTTAGACTGGAAAATTTGAACTTTTATAAGCTTGATTCACCATTTTAAAAAGTCCTCTGGTTAGAATATGTTATTAGTGGGTAGCAGTATCTTATTCTAGTAGTTCTGTATCTGAACAGGAAGTGTTATAAATTAGTTAGTATTTAGATTTGAACAGTGAAAATTTTCCATTTACTTGTAAAAGTTTATCTCTTTATAAAACAACTGTTCTAATAAAAATGTTTTCATTGTTGAAAACCAAAGAGCATTTTTAAGCATCTATTATGTGCCCCTAGATGTGTAGGGGATACAGAGTATAAATTTCAGTGTCTGCCATTAAGGAGCTTTTACTTTGGTTGAGGAGAGAAATTATTAGTAAAAATTTAACAGTTTAAGACAAGAAGAGGTGTCTAAGGATGGCACTTCCCTCTGGTGACACAAACTCTCTCAGTAAAAATATCATGATGTATGCCTGTATAAATGCTACAAAAGATTCTCACCACACTCTCTTACACCAAGAGATGATGTCTATAGGCAGTCCTCACAGATCACAGCCACACTCTAGATCACACAGTACAAATATGAACGTTATGGCTCCCACAGTAATGATGGTCTCTATCATTTGTCTCATCATTTGTCAAAATGATGGTCATAGAAGTGTTTCATAATTCAGAGAAGAAAGAGATCAGATAGATTAAGGCAGACACAGAAGTCTTTATTAAGGACAGTATTTGGGGTTCATTCATTCTTGATGACTGGATGAAATTTAGAAAGACATATCCTTTGTCTTTGCTTGATGGAGAGAATGGCCTTGAAAGTAAGTGTGGATATAGGAAAGTACATGTATGCAGTTTGTTCCAGAGATAGTGAGGAAACCATTTGGACTGGAGCCAAAGGTTTGACATAGAGAAAGTCTAAAAAAGTAAAATTGTAGAATTAGAGTTGGAAGACACTTTAAAGGCCATCTAGTCTAACAAGCCATCTGATATTTTATTCCCCTCTACTGCATTCCTGCCAATTTGTCATCTGGCCACCAGTGAGGGAAACTCAACTCTAAATGCAACTCATTCTGTCTTTGAATTACTCTCACTATTATATTGAAATTGTATTTATTTTCTGTAAATTCTACTTGTTAGTCCTAGTTCCACTTAGAATAAGTCTAATTTTCCTTATATATGAGAGCCCTTCATGTATTTGAAGATAGCTGTCTTGTAACCCCTGAACATTTTTTCCTCAGGCCAGACCTGTTCCCCTTCTGCCCATCAAGTTTCTTTAATTGTTTTACATTTGAACCTGGTTACTAGTCTGAGCAGGTTTCAGTTTGTCTATATTCTGGGCATTGTAGAATGACTAGAATATAGCAGTATCATGGCTTCTCTCATTAGATGCTATTGTGTTTTGGCAGTCACTCCATATTCTTTGTAAATAATTAATTCATGTTGGGCTGACTCTCAATTAAATATCCCAAAGTCCTTTTTTTTGAGCTGGTAAGCCATGTCTCCTCCATATTATATTTTTTGCATTTGAGTTTGGGGCCCAAATGTAAGCCTATTTTCCCTATTATAGTGCATCTTGCTAAGCTCAACTTAATAGTCTAACCTCTCACAATCTTTTTGAATCTAGATTCTGTTATTTAATATATTTATTTATTATTGCTTTATGACTTATATCACCAGCCTATTGGATGAAAGTTATTTCTACATCTTCATCTAAGTCAGTTATTAAGCTGATAAACAGGACAGTTCTGAACAAAGAGCCTAGCTGTATACATTTGAAATCTTTCTCCATTGTTATTGTCTGTAATATTTCCCCGCTTGTCCCAAGGATTTATTTCCATGAGGTACCTAGTCATGTACTTTGCTGAAATAAAATACACTTGGTCTACCAAATTCTTCTGCAGTCAAAGAAGGAAGTCAAATTTACATGAGATGATTTGTTTTAATATATAATATATATTTAATGTATATATGTATATACCATGACATCTCTTGATAACTAAAATATTGCACTAAACAAACATCAGGCTCCTTGATCTGGCTAAAGAAGTATGTTGGTTTCCTTTTTGAAAAATGGAACATTTACCTGTTTTTAGTTTTTGGCCATTTATAGCATTCCTCATGATTTGGAGAACTCAGTATTTTCTTATAGTTCTATTTCGTCTGCATTGTCAGTTTATTAGCTACACTTTCTGTTGTTATTAAACCCTAGATTCCTCTAGAGTTTACAGTATTAATATGCATCTTTAACTTTTCACAGTCTATCTTCAAATAATAACATACTACTTCAAGTAAATGTAAACAACTTACAACATTATCTGTCCACTAACCACTCTCTTTCTTTTCATTCTCCTAGTTTTCAGCATATGAGTCCTATACGTGTTTTGTTAGGTTTATACCTAAATATTTTATTTATTCTAGTGATTGCAATGGTATTATATTTTTAATTTTGGTGTCAATGTCAGAATATAGAAAAATAATTGATTTTTTTTTTTTTTTGAGGCAGAGTCTTGCTCTGTTGCCTAGGCTAGAGTGCCATGGCGTCAGCCTAGCTCACAGCAACCTCAAACTTTTGGGCTCTAGGGATCCTCCTGCCTCAGCCTCCTGATTACTTGGGACTACAGGCGTGAGCCACCATGCCCGGCTAATTTTTTATTTCTGTCTTTAGTTGTTGGGCTATTTTTTTCTATTTTTTTTTAGTAGAGACAGGCTCTCACTCTTGCTCAGGCTGGTCTCAAATTCCTGAGCTCAAGTGATCCTCCTGCGTCAGCCTCCCAGAGTGCTCTATTTTTCTTCTCTCCAGTCTCTGGCCACTGCCTCCCATTGACTGTATTCCACCTGAAGCAGAAGAGAGTGTGGGAGTTGGGTGATACAGTTAAGAGCTCAACTTCCCATAGGCACAAAACAACGCAGTAAGGGTGCACAAGGGGTCAAGGTTAGGATGCAGAGAGAGAATAGCCAGCAGAGTCTACCCTCTCTGCTCCTTAGCATGTATTCCTGTTCTTTATTTAGATGAAGAAACATTTATCTCCAAAACAGAGAAACACAGATTCTCATTAGGCATTATATCATTGTGTAATGATGCCAATTCAGTCATAATCCTGCTTGGAATTTGAATTGTAGTTGCTACCTATCATCAGTACTTGTCACAGCAGGGAAAGTGGAAAAAAGGAACGATTAACATAAAGGAAAGCAGTTATAGCCCCTGCTTCTATAGATGGTCACAAAGCCTAAGTTTCATAATCATAGCTTCCTTCTTTTACTACCAAATTCCACATTCCCTCCACACTTTTCCCAGCACCTTGGCTATTTATTTTTTTTATTTTTAAAGCTGGTGAAATGGCCTAAACATTCCCACAAGATCCAACTCCTATATCTTGTGGGTTGCTGCTGTTTCCTATAGATTTATTATAGTTATGGGAGTACCATAAATTATTTGGGTTCCAAATGTAGTCTCCCTTGCCCTCATTTTGTAGTAACAAGCCAGGATCAGTCACCCTCACCAGTCTTCTCTGTGTATTGGTTAAACAGCATGAGTTTAAAATAGTCAAGGGCCAGTCCCAGATTTCAGTATACTAGAACTTTGATTAGGTTTCCTAGTGGAAATATTATACTTCTTAAGTATACACTAATTACACTAATTAAGTGTCACAGTGAGAGAGGTTAGTCCTATCTCCACCTTTTGGTTTGCAGTCCTACATGTTTTGGCTGTGGAGGAAGCAGCATCTTTATTGGTCGTTAGTTTAGACATATGACTGCGGCATGGAGCACAGCACCCCGGCTGCATAGGACATTATCCCCTGGCTAATGCTGTAACATCAAGAGGCATTTTGCTGTTCTCTTAAGGCAGCTGCTGCCAGGTGAGGAGCCACAGGGGTAAGCCCAGTAAATTCTGTGGGAGTAGACCTATTGCCATATTTCTTCCAGCTAGGCCAGGATTGGGATGCGTGATGGACTCACCTTGGGTGAAAAACTTAAGGGTGCACCAAAAAATTATTAATCATGATAAATGATATTTTAATGTAATATTTTAAAGAATCAAAATTAGTGCAAAAATCCATGATGAACAACATGCCAAAATTTTAAGTAAAGACAGGATCCAATAGTGCCATAATGAGCTATATTGGAGCCTGAGGCAAAAAGAAAAATGTGCACCTCCATGATACAATGTTTCTGAATTGTTGTCAATGGTTAATTTTTTTCCCCAGAACATTAAAATACTGAAAAATACTGAGAATTGAAAAGTAAGTGTATTAAAACTTACAACATTAAGTTTAAATATCTTATTTATATCCAAACCAGAGTTTATTATAATTTTACTTTCCTGGCTTTAATGGAAGCAAACTCTTCAAAAATATTATCAAAATTTGGCCAGGCGTGGTGGCTCATGCCTGTCATCCTAGCACTCTGAGAGGCCTAGGCAGGAGGATTGCTTAAGGTCAGGAGTTTGAGACCAGCCTGAACAAAAGCAAGACCCTGTCTCTACTAAAAATAGAAAAATTAGCCAGGTGTTGCAGCATGCGCCTATAGTCCCAGCTACTTGGGAGGCGGAGCCAGGAGGATCCTTTGAGCCCAGGAGTTTGAGGTTACAGTGAGCTGTGCTGATGCCACTGCACTCTACCCAGGGCAACAGAGTGAGATTCTGTCTCACAAAAAACAGAACCAAACAAAAAAAAATCTATTTCTTTGCTTATTTCATTTTCAGTTGAGCATTTTGAATTATAATAAATGAAAGCAATTTTTAAAGTCTGTTTGATGAATATAAAGCTTTAGTAAGAGATAGGAATATACTTCCTGAATCTGAAATAAATGAAAAAATGAAAAAAATATTGGAAATGTACAAATTACCAGATGCAATATCAATAATTATTTGAGAAAGTGTATATATCAAATAAAAATTATGGAGATTATGGGCACATGTATGAGTTTTCTACTGCTGCTGTAACAAATTACCACATACTTAGTGACTTAAAACAACACAAATTTATTATCTCACAGTTCTGGAAGTCAAAGTTCTAAAATCAGAGTGTTGGCAGGACTACATTGCCTCTAGAAGCTCTAGGGGAGAATCTATTTCCTTCCCTTTTCCAGCTTCTAGAGGCCACCTGCATTTCTTGGCCTGTGGTCTCTTCATCTTAAAGCTAGCAGCTTAGCATTATTCATCTTTTGTCCCCTTGCCTCCATTGTCACATCACTTTCTCTGAATCTGATCTTCCTGCCTCCCTCTTATAATGACTCTTTTGATAAAATTGGGTCCACCTGAAAATAATCCAAGATAATCCCCACATCTCAAAATTATTAATTTAATCACACCCATGAAGTCTCTTTTGTCATGTAAGGTAGCATACTCACAGGTTCCAGGAATTAGGATGTAGACATCTTTTGGGAGCCCATTAGTCTGACTATCACAGCACACTAATTCACATGTGAAAAGGAGATATGAAAAATTAACTGAAGTATCTTTAGATTCTGAATTTTTAAATGGAGAAAAGTTATATGGCTGTGTCTGGTTTACAAAAAGCAGCCACTGACTTGGCTCTTAAATATTCTGACAATTTAAGTCCTATAGCAATTTCATCTGAAATAGTTTTGAGTGCTATACAATGTCAGTAATTTATAAAATACAGTCATTATTGTGTTAGATCTTTTAAAAGTGATTGACAAATTTTGCTTACTGCAGTCTTATTCAAATTTGGAAGTAGTCTTGAGAGTTTTTTTAAAAACAATTCCAGTCACAATGTCATCCTGCAAAAGAGGTTTTAGTAAGCTGAAGTTAATTAAAAATTACTTAAGATTGCCACTTGGTCAATAGACATTGTCAAACAAGGTACTTCTCTATATTGAAAACAAGATAACCAGAGAAGAAGATTTTGAAAATATTACTGATGAGTTTGCTTCCATTAAAGCCAGGAAAGTAAAATTATAATGAATCCTGTTTTGGGTATAAATACATTTAAACTTAAAATAATGTTGAGTTTTAATATACTTATTTTTCAGTTTTTCAATATTTTTCAACTACTTTAATATTTTGGAAAAAAGTTAACCATTAAAAATACATAAAAACGTGCAGTTTTTCTTTTGCCTCAGGCTCCATCAAGGCACTCTTGGATTCTGTATTTAATTTTTTGATATTTTGTTCATTATAGATTTTTTGCATTGGTTTTGATTCTTTAAAAATATTGCATTAAAATATTTATTTTTCCCTACCAGGCTGACTCAAAAAAAAACAAAATTTATTTTGATTATTGAGATTTGGGGGCACTTCTTTAAATTTTGCATTCAGGGTGAGTGCTTCACCCCTTCTTAATTTTCCTGTATTATCTTCCACTGTTAAATGAGTACCTTAGTTGGAGGTAAAGTTGAGTAAGATGCTATAGTTTGCATACGGCATTTTGTTAAGCCTATTAGTTGTGCTAGCAGAGAGTGTGGGCAGGGCAGGCAAATCCTTGGATGCAATGTATATCTGCTCCTGTGAGAAGATTTCAATCTTAGGTGTATATTGGAAGAACGTGAGGAGCTTATAAAACTCTTGATGATGGGATTGCACCCCAGACCAATAAATCAATTACTGCAGGTGGGACCTAAGCATCCATGATTGTTAAAGCTCTCCAGGTGATTCCATGTGCAGTCATAGTTGAGAGCCATTGATCTGCAGCAGTACTTCTTAAATTTTATCACCCACATGAATCATCTGGAGATCTTGTTCAAATACAGATGTCTTAGTTTTAGGGCTTAACAGTGCATTTCTAGAAAGCTTTCTGTTGCTGTTGGTCCATTGACTATGCTTTGAGTAGCAAAGCTTTATTGCATGCTAGAGAAATCCAGCATTTTAGCCTCACAACTAACTATAGGCAACAGTTGACTCTAGATTTCAGTTAACAAACCCAGCAGAGTGTTAACACCATTTCTGGGTGTCTGGGTGAATACTTTAAATCCTGAATCTTGAGTGAATGTATCCTTATCAATAACTTGAGCTCTACCCAACCACATATTTTGTTCCTCTTAATCTAATAACCCTAGAATCTATTTCAATACATGTTCTCTGGAGTCCTCCTGACTAAAACTGGAAAATTCCTGCAACTCTGATGTATGCGTTGTTTCCTTCCTGACCTTATATCCCTAGCTAAGCTGGGATCTAACCCCTGTTACGAGCCTGGAAGCAGTAAAAAGTAGTGGAGGTGGGTGCTGAAGAGAATGGGAATCTCTTTCTGAGGCAGTGTCTTCAGATGAAATTACTGAAAGGTTTTTATTCAAGAGAAGGCTGGTTGGAAGGTGGGAGAGGGGAACTGTTTTTTTTCACAGAAAGATTTGTGGATTTGTGGGATCCAAAGTTAAGCTTCATGTCTTAGTTCAAACACTCTCATCACAAGACACTTCTCAACCATTACCCTTCCCTTCAGTCTGGCAAGGTTGTACTTTTAAATGGCATTGCACATCCGCAAACCATACACTGAAGCATTGGGCCAGATCCTCAGCCACCATCTGTCTTGTGCTTAAAGTTTGCAAAAACGAAGACAACTTGTTGAAATAACTAGATACCTTGAAGTTATATGCTATTTATGTAAAGACTATAGATTTTTATAATTGCTTAGTTAACTTAGAATGAGTATAGAAAGTTGAAATATTTCTTTGAATGTATTAAGTGCCATTGTGAATATTTAAAGAGGGCCTTTACTATCCAAGATGCTGTAGCATATTGACAGTAGATTCATAAGTTGTTGATCATTAACATTTTGTGTTTTTTATTTACAGAAACTTATTGGAGAAGTGTTTAATATTGTGAGTCAACAGTCTACTGCTCGACCTGGCTGCATTATTGAACTCGATGCAATAACCGATCAAGTAAAAAAACATGCTTGTGAATTGGTGATATTAATATATTTTATCTCAGAGTGTTTTAATTTATATGATATATTTCATTCTCAGAATAATTCTCTTCTTTGATATTGAATTCAGCCAACTTCTATTGATTCCCATAGTGAAAATCTAATGATTTAAGAATTATTCTCCATTTTAATTGTATCTATAGCTTTGTTTCCAGTTTAAAGGAAATTTGATTCAGTTAAGGAAACTAGGATCTCAATCTCAAAACACTGAGAGAAGGTAGAGTACAGCTGCATAGAGCCTTGGATTGGGGTTTCTTTTTTGGGTTTTTCTTTCTTTCTCTTTTTATATTATTACTCATTTGAACTCAGTAGAGGATGACCTCAGCTTCAGAGTATTTGCCCTGTTAGGCCTCATGGTGGATATTTTTATGAGGTTTCTTAAAATACAGATGAAAGTGGATCAAAGTACACATTTACCTTTTAATCGCAGCTCTTTGTATAGTCAGTATTTCTCCCTAGCTACTACCTATGAAAGAAAGAGAAGCTATTTCCTACAGGGAGTTTATAAAACCCATTTTGGCCCTCAGGATAATTATTTCTTCAGGATTATGCTATGGATTAAGGAATAGAACTAACATATTCATTCAAAATATTAAAAAAGATTAGTTTGGTGAGGAAGTTACCAATATTTTTAAACAATGAAATGAAGAAAGAGCCAACTATATTTAAAAACAAGTGTAGAATTATGTAATAATTTTCCATGGTACCCAGCACATTCTATTGGGGAAAATGTAATCATTTCCACTATTGTAAAGAAATTAGCACATCAGCCCTTGGTAACAGAACTGGGGCTGCCACATTCAAATTACTAACTAACGCCTCTTAGGAAATCCTTAACTTTGTTATCCCCAAGTGACATGCCTTTCTTCAAAATCAACCTATGGTTTCCCTTTTTTTACTCCATAGGGATCCGGAAGAAGAGCTGGCTTCTTTACCATAGATACCTTAATTTTTAATGGCCTACATGTTAAATTCATCCCTTACTTTTGCCCCTTCTGCACTTTAGGATATTAATATAGCACTCTCACCCATCAATCTTTTTACTTCATACTTTTTTCCCTCTGACTTTGGTGGCTATCTTTGACACAAGGCTGGTACACTGTAAGCACTGATAAATGACTTAGGCTTATAAATGATAACATTTAAAACTCATTCTAGGTTTGTTCCCAGTGTGTTGTATGATTTCTGTATCCATAAAGACACTACCCTTCCCTTTTCTTTCATTTGTTCTTTTTCCCTAGGGGAAATGACCTTCTGTACTATGAATGTGAAGAGATTTTTTTTTTATCTTTCTACCTGGAGAGACATAAAAATACTCTATAACTTTCATAAAAATTCTATGGCTCAACTTAACATTATAGTCCTTTTATTTTCTTCTATGATGTAAGGAGGCTGATTTTCCTTTATTCTCTAAGATTATAGACTATGCATCCAGTGCCAAGATAATCATAACTATTACCCTTTCTTGAAATCTGTGGGTCAGCCATCTAATTGTGTTGACACACTTCCATAATAAGCTTTTGTTTGGATCTAGCCTTTTCCTTGAATTTCAGTTCACCTTTAGGGTTCTAAGTTGCCCTTTGTGATAATCTTTACTCTTCTCTATATGGTCTAAAAACATGATCATGTAGCATAGTAGGTGACAGTGATATTTCATCCATCCTTCAAAAGAGATCCTACTTACCTATGTGTAAAAATAGTTCTCTAGAGATGTGATGTCCCTCTGGCTGTTATATCTATTAGAGGGATATCTGTTAGTTCTGCAGTAGTCTAGTGTGCCTTATATATAGTTAGCATAGCCCTCCACAGTTAGTCATGAATCCTGATGCTTTGGACACAATGTGGTACAGATCACTTAACACTTAACTGTTTTTATGTGTTGTTTTGTTTTTTTTTTTGAGAAGAAAACCTGTTGATTTGTTTTTATGGGAGGTCTTCTGTTCTGCTATATTGGCTTTAGCATTTTTTAAGGTAATTTTTCTCTGACCAAGATAGTTTTAATTATTTTTTTTTCTGTTGTTTTTTTCTCTCTAATTAGTCAGTAGACAAAGAATAGAAATTGTTAGAGAGATTTATTTTTTCTGTATTATTGTTGGGTAAGTGGTGGATGGGAGATAGGGAATTTCAAAGATAATAACTTGTCTTTTTTTGGTATTTGTAGTGTGGCTCAAATACACAGCTGCTTCATGTGTTTCAAGAAGACTTCATTATAGGATATAAACCACATAAGGAAGATATAGATAAAAAGGAAACAGAAATATTTTTTCAGCCATCTCAAGGTACTTTAAAAAAATAGTCTGAATTTACTTACATAATCCTGAAAAAAAAGATTTTTAAGCTTTCATTGAGTATGGATCTTCAAATGTCATCACTTTCATAATTGTTGGTAGATACTCTAGTTATGTCAAAATTGCCTGTTTATAGATGAAGAAGGCATGTGGGTGATAATTACATTTTAAAAGACGGTTCACTGTTTACAGGGTTCACATAGACTTTTGCTTAGAAATATATTTATGAATCCTAGTTTATTTTAAAAACTAATTTTAATTACTCAATTCCACAATTAAATTATTTTGATTGATGGTAAATTCCATGTGTTACCATGAGGAAACCAGTTAATTTTAGTATAGGTTTAAGAAAGTTCCCAGTAAATTGCTACAGACCAATGATGAATATAGAATGTAAGATACCATGTTGTGTGGTACACTAGAAACCTCATGGATATAGAGAATGAGAGGTACCATCTCACAGTTTTCCTCTTTGAAGTGCAATATTTCTTTTCCTTTTATTGTGAAAGAAAGTAGTTTCTCCATAAGCCCTTTAAAAACAAACAATATGATGTTTAGTTTAAACTTTATAATTTTGTTTAAAATGTATCCTTTAGAAATTATTTTATATTTTAATTGACAGATAAAATTATGCATATAGAACTATATACATATAACTTTATAATTATAAAACCATTATGTTCTGTTTGAATGAAAAGACATCCTACTTTAAGAATTAAGTTTCCATGATGAATAGTTTTTTAGTTTACAAAGGGTTTCCAGATACTTTATCTCATTCGGTTATAGATTGACAGTATCTAGATGGACATATGTAATTTTCTTAGTATAGGTTTTACCACAGAATTATGTATAGACATGCAAGGAAACTATTTCTACTGAATTTGTACAGATAGTTTCCTTTGCTTTAGTGGAAAATGAGAATGAGTTCCCATCTCCTATGAAGGTTAGCTCACACATCTTTTTACTCAGACTAATACTTTTTTCTTTCATGTATATTTCTTCATATATCAGAGCTTTTCTTAATATATTAGCTATTTAGTTATCATGTTCAGTTTTATTTCACTGTCACTGTAACCAACAGTACTGCTTTATAGATTTAAAATTTGCTTTTCTGTAGTATTTTACCTTTATCTGGGTTAAATTTTTTAATATGCTTTCCAACAAACCTAGCTATCATTTATCATTACATACCAACCTGCTAGAAAACAATGCTTATATATAAAGTTGGTATTTTTCTTTATAATATTTTTAATTGACAGACTTGCATTTAAATTTGTTTTTTATTTTTCTCTTTTGATATTTCTTTAGATAACTGCTAAATCAGGCCAAAATATTTTTTGCATGATTTCTTGGTTTTCTTTTAGTTTTTGTGTGAAATTTCTTTGTGTTATATATTTTTCTGATTTTTATAGCTGTTTTCTTAAAGGACTTGATGTGTATATTTCTCCTCTTCCCTGCTCCTGCCTTATTTTGTACTTTGAGTTTTAATTAAAATTTACTTACTCTTTTAATTAAGAAAAATGCCAGACATAGACAAAATTAGAGTACGTAGTTAAATGAAACTACATATGCCCATAATGTAGATTGAAGATTTTAAGATTTTTTTTTTTTTTTTTTTTTTTTTATTCTTTTTTTATTTTGGGGAGTTAATACAGTTGTAAGATTTTAAGATTTTTATCACACGTGTTTTATCTACCCTTTTTCCTTTTTCCTGTGAAATATTTTAAAGCAAATTCAGCCATCATGTTGTTTCACTTCCTTATGCATTTCTAAAAGTGATTTCCTTACACATTTGCTATTATCAGATTGATAAATTAACAAAATTTTCTCAGAATCGTCTGTATTTAACTAGTTCATATTTACTTCATTCAGTTGTCTCAAAAATGTTGGGGTCTTTGTTTTTGTGTTTTTAATGTTTTTATTTGTTTTAATCCATATCCAAACAAGGTCCATCTGTTGTGTTTTCATTGTCTGTTGAGTCTTTTAATTTAAAGTGATCTCGCTGCATATACACTCATTATGCCACTGACTTATTTTACAGCAAGTTAATTTTTAGGACTTTCTCTGGCTACTTACTTGTGATGTCCTTTAAACTTTTTCTTGTCCACTATATTTCCTGTAAAGTGGAAGTTAGCTCTGTGGACTTGATTAGATCTTGGTTCAGCTTCTTAGGTGATGCTGTACAATTCATATGTATCACACCAAAAAGAACATAATGTTTGGATGTCTCACGTTTAGTGATACTCAGATTCAGAAGATTCAGCTGGTGGCTGCATCATGGTTTTCCAGCAGTCTTTTATGTCATGATTTCGTCTATTGAATATTTTTGATCTTGAATCAATTATTTCGTTAGGGATTGCAAAATCATGATTTTCTAATTTTATCAGCTTTCATGGATAGCATCTGTAAAGAAAGCATTCCTTTATCAAGTAGGGCAATTATTGGGTTATTTTGAAAAACAGTTATTTTAGGAAAGGCAGGGTAAGTGATTGGTTCTTTCTCTTTAATTGACAATTTTAGAATATTAGAATAAGGAGTTTATGCCCTACTTTCCTCCAGTGGTTGCTGATGAATTTGTTATTGTTGTTTGGCTTTTTTTGTCTTTTGAGTTTCATTATGAACTGATTAAAAAAAACTCATTAGCGAACAACAATAACACACATACAGAGAAGTACTAATATAGCTCGTGGATTTTCATGTACATTGCGTATTTTAGTCAGTTTTCAATAAGGTTTTTTTTTTTTTTAGTGCTTACACTGTCCTGAATAAACCTAGTAAGGACCATTTCACATTGGTCCTGAGTCATTTTGACACAGCTTCATTATTCTGATAGTTTACTTTCTTTCAGACACAAGATATCTCAGACTTATCTTGTAGATATCCTTTGCAAGAATGGAGTCATCCTTCCAAACTGTTCCTTTTAATGGGGAATGCTATTTAGAGACCACAATTTGAGCTCTAGCAGTGCTCATTGCCAATGAATTGTCATTATGAGTTTTCATTTTTAAGGAAAGTTTTTGTTGTCCTGTATAGATCTCATTTTTATATATGAAGAACATAATTGTCAACAGGAAAAATGATGTCTACAAATGTTTTTTCTTTAAAAAAATGCAGGAAATGTCTATAAAGTCTCTTTTGCACCCCACTACTGCCCTCTGCCCGTGACTTAAGATTTTTTTTCTTTTACTTTTTCTTTCTTTTTGTTTTTTTTGAGACAAGGTCTCGCTCTGTCACCTGGGGTAGAGTGCAGTGGCGTCCTCATAGCTCACTGAAACCTCAAACTCCTGGCCTCAAGCAATCTTCCCGCCTTAGCCTCCAAAAGTGCTAGGATTACAGGCATGAGCCTGAGCAAGAACAAGATCCCATCTCTACAAAAAATAAAAATTAGCTGGGTGTGGTGGTGCACTCCTGTAGTTCTAGCTACTCGGGAGGCTGAGGGAGGAAGATCACTTGAGCCTAGGAGTTTGAGGTTGCAGTGGGCTATTCTGATGCCACTGCACTCTAGCTGGGGCAACAGAGTGAGACCTTGCTAAAAAAAATGCTATTGTTTTATAGAGGAAAAGCAGGGTAAATGTTTATTTCCTTCTTTCTTTTTAATTGTCAGTTTTCCAAATAAAGAATGAGTGCCCCTGTTACTCCAGAGGACACGCATTGAGGCTGGCTTGTGTTCTTGTGTGCTTGCCCTTGCTCTGTCTCTCTCTTCCTTCCATTTCTTCTTTTTTTTCCTCTTTCTTTTTCTTCTTATGTGCCCTCTTTTGGTATTTTTGTGAACTCATAGTTTTTTATATAGTAAATATGTTTTAATAAATTGTATTCATTTTTATTCTTTGATGCTCAGATTGTCCCATCTTTGATCAGTAGGTATCCTTTCGTATTGGCTTTTGTACATCTGACACAGCCTCATTAGTCTTTGATTGGCACCTAACTTTTGGCACAAAATTGTATGAAACTCTTAACAGTTTATTCTTCCCTTTTCCTCCCAATTTCTATGCATATCAGGAGGTGTTTTTAGCTTTTAAAAAGTGTTTTTTAGCCCTATAGAAACATTAATTTAAGTATCTTTTTCCTTTGAACAATAGGATATCGTCCACCACCATTTTCCGAAAAGTTCTTTCTAGTAGTAATTGAAAAGGACAGCAATAATTATTCTATTCTGCATATGTGGCACCTTCACCTTAAATCTGTACAAGCATGTTTAGGTAAGTAATTCTATTATAATTTTATACAGAGATGATGTGAAATAAATTCATTTTGTAGAATATGCTTTAGGTTGGCTAATTCTTTAACATGAAGTTCAGTAAACTATTAATATAAATTGAATTGCTGAATTGTAATGTGTCTTTGGCAAACTTTTAATTACAAGGTCATAAATCATTAATGAAACTGGTTAATACTAAAAACAAACTAGTCTATGGGCATATTAGACATCCTGAAAAAAATAAAAGCTTGATTTATATTTTTCAGTGAATATTCATTGAATGCCTATTCTTACTCTATTCTAGATGCTATATTTATAAATTTAATTCTGTCCATAGAATTAATATTGTATTTTTTGTTGAATAATACATATTGCCATCTGATATAGTGTACATCAGCTTTAGCATTATTAAGAGAAGCAGATTAGTTGTTTGGTAAAATATGATTGAACATTTGAAGCTTATAATAAACAGAACTGTTTTTGTAGAACATTAAGAAATGTAGCAGTGATAAAAATTATTTCAACCATGCTTTTGCTATACACATTCAGATTAATCTCTTAATAAAGTAGGAAATAATAATATGAAGAAAAGTAATTAATCATAGATTTTTTTTTTAAAAAAACCAAACTTTATTGAGAGATAATTACTAAAATGAAGAACCGCACAGATGGCTATATCAATCTGAATTTATATAACATTTAATACAGTGAACCAGTAATAGGTACCTTTTTGTTCACTTTGTATTACACATTGTCACATGGCCCAGTTAGAAGTTACAAGTTCTAACTGAGCCATGAACTGACATTAGAACCGCCAATGACTTAATAGAACTTTTATCATTACTTAGTTGGGCCTAATCTTCTTGAGGCACCAGGAATTAAAAAATTCTTTCAGAGTTAATTCTTGGCATTATGTGGGTTTTATAGAAATGCAGGAGTAAGGGATCTAGAACCAGTTCATCAAGAAGAGATTCTTAACACCAGAGAATATGGTATTTTCTAAAATCAGACACAAAGCCAGTATGGTTCTAAATAGATATGTAGAGGTAGTAACAAATTCTTATAGTAGGACAGGAGTCGTGTGCCACCATCTATCCTCACCACTTATGAGGGAGTGTCCCAGTGCTGTTGCCCTAAATCCAGGGGTTCTTAGAGTTGCTTGCCTACCCTGTTTGTGACAGCAGTAGAAATTCACAATGAGATTATGTTATAGTGAGGCAAACAAATAATATGCTCTTTTTGACTGTGATAGAAAACATCCATCTTTTGGTTCTGACATTTGCTACAGATTTAACATAGTATATGTTGCTATTCATAGCTAACACTTGAATATATCAGAGTGTTGAATATCCTGTCAGAGAATGAAATGATTGGCTTATATTTAGATAGGGAAGGAAATATGTTGAATATCTTCTGGGTGCCAGGCACTGAGATAGGTGATTTATATATGTAAAATAGATATTACCCCCAGTTTAAGTAACTTGACCAAGTCCCATTATATAGTTTGTCATCATATGGGCCTTGTTGGCTATAAAGTCTTTGCTTTTTTCCCTGCTTTTATTTTCTTTCTTAGCATGAGATATATAATAGGAAATTACCTGGTTTACAGGAAGGGAAATGAAGAAGTTCAACCTTATTTCACTGGTGAGAGAATAGCCAGAGATGGTGAAGTGCGTTGCTTAAGGAAACACATCTAATCAGTGATAGACTACTGATTCAAGTGTATAGTCTTAAATGTTTTCATATTTCTTACTGAAATATGAAAAGATAGATTTCCATTATAAGATAGATTGACATGTTTAATATAGAAGCCAACGAGGATTGATTATTTATTATCCCTTGGATATTCTGGTGCTCCTGGAGGTGTATAAAGCAACCAGATGTTATCCCTGCCCTTGATGAATACTGTCATTGTCTGATGGGGGGAGACAGGCAAATAAATAAATGTAATATAAAGTATTCCTCATGGATAACAGGAGCACAGATTGCCAAATCTGCTTTGAAATTTACACTATAATATGAAAGCTGGAAACTTTTTGGAAGAAGATGAAGTCAATTTGCCTTATAAAGCTGGCCAACTAATGCTCTTAATCTTGTTTGGAACTTTTATTTTTGTGTTTGTTCTTGAAATCATTCTCTTGTTTGAGCATTTGATAGGAGGCTGGTATTCTAGTGTCTTGTTTGCCACTAATTATATGACCTTAGGAAAATCATTAAGCTCTCTTAGGCTTAAATTTCTTCATTTATTAAGTAAAGCACTGCATTGTTACTTCTCAAAGTTTGATTCATGACCCATCTATTTCAGAAATACCTGGGCTGATTATTAAAAATGCAGATAACTAGGATCTACCCCAAATCACCTGAATTGGTGTCCCTCCTTAGGTTAGGCCTGGGAATTTGCATGTTAACAAATTCCTCAGGCTTGTAATATGTTTTAAAGTTTGTGAAAACACTGGACTTCGTAACTTAAGGTTTTTTTCTGTAATAGCTTTTATGTCTTGTGGTTTTTACTTGACAGTATTCCTGTGGTGGAATTGTTGACGCTAATAAAAAGTAAAACTGTTGTGTATATATACTGCATTTTCTTTATCCATTCATCCATTGATGGATGCTTAGATTGATTTCCTTGAGTAGTGTTGCAATACTAATATACTGATAAACTGATTTCCTTCCCTTTGGAGAAATATCCAGTAGTGAGATTGCTGGATTGTTTGGTATTTTTTAGTTTTTTGAGAGACCTGTTTTTCCATAGTGGTAATTTATACTCCTACTAACAGTGTATACGAGTTTTCTCTGTATCCTTACCTCCAAAGTACTTTTAAGAAGCCATGTGTTTGTTTGTTTATTTGTTTGAGACAGGGTCTCACTCTGTTGCCCAGGCTAGAGTGCCATGGCATCAGCCTAGCTCACAGCAACCTCAAACTCCTGGGCTTATGTGACCCTCCTGCCTCAGCCTCCCAAGTAGCTGGGACTACAGGCATGCACCACCATGCTAGGCTAATTTTTTCTATTTTTAGTAGAGATAGGGTCTAACTCTTGCGCAGGCTGGTCTTGAACTCCTGAGCTCAAGCTATCCTCCCACCTCTGCCTCTCAAGAGTGCTAGGATTACAGGTGTGAGCTACTGCACCAGGCCTATGTTTCTTAAGTGACAATAAAATAATATTCTAGCTCATATATATAGTGATGATAGTAATACATTTCATTATTTCATAATTTATTTTTAAAGCTAAGGCTTCAGAAGGTGTTTCATCTGAGAGTTTGCTTGTGGTCCCTGGGCAGAAGAATGTAGACTCTTCTCCAGAAACCTCTCCTAGTGTGAGCCCCATGCCACATTCTTCATCGATTGCCAATCTTCAAACTGCTAGTAAACTTATTCTGAGTTCTAGACTGGTATATAGCCAGCCTCTTGATCTCCCAGGAGCAGTTGAAGTAATAAGAGCAACACCTTCGGCAGGTAAGGTAACTTTAAGACTGGTCAGTCATAGCTCAGAGCGGTAAAATGGATGAACTCTTAGTGGATAAAACAGGTGAACTTTTCTGATGTATGTGCTATGTTGACATTGAAATAAAGATGTATTTTCTGGTAATGATAACATCTGTTTACAAACATGTCTTTGTTAGAAATAATTTCCTCTGGTAAATGTAATCAGCCTGACAGAATAGTGTAAATATTTTAATATGAAATGTCTTTTCTACACTTTGGAATACCTTGATAGTAAAATTTCAAAGAATAAATATGTATCATTTGTGAATCACTGAAGCTTTATTTTTTTTTTTTTAATTTGAAACTTGTGCTAATCATATCTTACTTTACTAAATACCTTTGAACAAGGGTTGGCATACTTTGGGGGAAAATGTAGCATAAAAGACTAGTGTGGCTGGCCTAGTATGATACTGACTTTAGCAAAGTGGATAAGATAATTTGGAGGGTAGGACTGGCAGCTATATTTAAAATGACCTGCCACTTATGGAATTCTAATTGGAGAGTTTCTAGAATAGTGTTTTTAGGGGACCAAAGTTGGAGTTTCCAGACAGTTCCAATTACTGGTAAATGTTATATGAGTATGGGTGTTCTTTTATTCATCCCTATGGCAGGTTTGCATTCACAGTTGTGGTAGATGCAGATCTTGGTCAGTTTTTGAATCTTTCAAAATATTTGAAAGGTTTGTGTTATGCTCAGAAAAGTTTATTGCAACTTATGTTAATGAATTATAGTTTACAGGGGTTTTATAAAATGCTTTCAAATGTCTTGATAATAACATTCTAAGGGAAGTAGTAACTGATCCCTATTAATAATATTTAGATGGAACAGGGTGAAATGGTTAAGTAGCTTCCCCACTGTTATGAGGTATTGATGGACTGAAACTTGAATATAGGTCTTCTGATATCAAATCTTAATCACTGTGTCCCCTTATCTTATAGTTGACAATAGATGGGCATAGTTAGTCTTTGGCAGTCAGGAATAAATATAAGGATTCTGGTTCAGTCTTAAGAAAGGATGAATTAAAGCTGGTGACAAGAGTGAAATCTATTGGTGTGTTTTGCTGTCTGAAAAAAATGTGATGGTAGGAGTATATCTGGGGTCTGGATTAGTTGAGGGAAGGTTAGGGGCATTTGAAGGGCAAATGATAATGATCATGTAAACATCTGTTATGAAAATTATATGGTATGAAAGTAGGGAGGCATATTATGGTGAAGGCATATATAAATTATGGCAGATAAAACATTTATTGATTAAGGATTGACTTGAGTTTTACTTTAATTAAATGTTTACCTCATTTAAATTTAATGATTAAAAACAAACCAAGTGATTATAGCATATTTTGATTTCACCAATGGCTATTGAAAACTTCTATAGATACTTTGGCTAATAGACATTTCATGTAGGATGCTAGTTAAGAGGAAGACTGCATAGTTACTCTAAAGAAGCTCGCAATGGCTTTGATCACATTCTAAAATTTGATTATTAGTATATTATTTTGTGGCTTTATTATTATAACTACCTGCTTTTTCTCTTTTAAGGGCATCTGAGTTCATCTTCAATTTATCCAGTGTGCCTTGCACCTTATTTAGTGGTTACAGCTTGTTCTGACAATAAAGTACGCTTCTGGAAATGTTGTATGGAAACCAACACAAAGTGTAATAAAAGTGATGAGAAAGAAATCTATCATTGGAGGAAATGGCCCTTGATGAATGATGAAGGAGAAGATAATAGCAGTACAGTGAGCATTGTGGGAAGACCAGTTGCTGTTAGCTGTTCATACACAGGTCGCCTTGCAGTAGCTTATAAGCAACCAATCCATCACAATGGTTTTGTTTCTAAGGAATTTTCCATGCATGTTTGTATATTTGAATGTGAATCTACAGGAGGATCAGAATGGGTTTTAGAACAAACAATTCATCTTGATGATTTGGTTAAGGTTGGGAGTGTACTTGATTCAAGGGTTAGCGTTGACAGTAATCTGTTTGTATATAGCAAATCAGATGCACTTTTGAGCAAGGATAGATATCTTATTCCGAATATCAAGCATTTAGTACATTTGGACTGGGTATCAAAAGAAGATGGCTCCCACATTCTCACAGTGGGGGTTGGTGCTAATATCTTCATGTATGGGAGGCTTTCAGGAATTGTGACTGAGCAAACGAACAGTAAGGATGGAGTAGCTGTTATTACTTTACCACTAGGTGGTAGTATCAAGCAAGGAGTTAGGTCAAGATGGGTTCTTCTTAGATCCATAGACCTGGTGTCTTCTGTTGATGGTACACCTTCACTGCCTGTTTCTCTCTCTTGGGTGAGAGATGGAATACTGGTGGTAGGAATGGACTGCGAAATGCATGTATATGCACAGTGGAAGCATGCTGTGAAATTTGGAGACCCTGAAAGTGATAGTCCTGATGCAGAAGAGGCAGCAATACAAGATCATTCGGCCTTTAAATCTAACATGCTAGCAAGAAAAAGTATTGTTGAAGGAACAGCTATTGCTGATGATATTTTTTGTTCACCAACTGTAGTTCAAGATGGTGGCTTATTTGAGGCCGCACATGTACTTTCCCCTACTCTTCCACAGTATCATCCAACTCAACTGTTAGAATTGATGGATTTAGGGAAGGTTCGAAGGGCTAAAGCCATTCTCTCTCATTTAGTAAAATGTATTGCAGGTGAAGTTGCAATAGTTAGAGATGCTGATGCTGGAGAAGGAAGTAAGCGACATCTTTCTCGAACCATTAGTGTAAGTGGCAGTACAGCAAAGGATACAGTCACCATAGGAAAAGACGGCACTCGAGATTATACTGAGATAGATTCTATCCCTCCACTACCACTATATGCCTTGCTTGCTGCAGATCAGGATACATCCTACAGAATTTCAGAAGAAAGTACAAAAATACCACAAAGCTATGATGATCATCCTGAAAGTCAACCAGAGGATCAATATTCAGAGCTGTTTCAAATCCAGGATATAACAACAGATGATATCGATTTAGAGCCAGAAAAGAGAGAACACAAATCAAAAGTAATAAATCTTTCTCAGTATGGACCAGCTTACTTTGGCCAAGAACATGCTAGGGTACTTTCAAGTCATCTTATGCACTCAAGTCTACCAGGCCTTACCCGTTTAGAGCAGATGTTCCTTGTAGCTTTGGCTGATACAGTGGCTACCACCAGTACAGAGCTTGATGAAAACAGAGATAAGAGTTACTCAGGTAAATATTCTCACTAAAAATTTATAAAATTATTAATTGAAATTAATGATTATTTTGTATTATCTGTATGATGACTTGCTTATTGAATTGCAGTCTTACATTCAGACTCTGCAGGGAGAAGACCTCCCTAAGAGATAATTACTGTTACGTAATATGCTTAGGTGAAAAAGAAAAGACAGTTGAGGAAGACATATGATTTCATGGATTTGTGATCTCTTTGTGCATTCTCACCTGTGTTTTTACACTGAAACCTTTGTATGATTTGGGATATATAGTCTCTTGTTTTTTCAAACAGATCGATCCCCATGGTTTTATTTTTTTCTTTGAGTGATAATAATGGCCAATTTGTTAATTTTACTATAGAATCATGAGTCTTATAGGGACATTATAGGCTCACCTTGTTCATGATCCCATTTCTAGTCATAAATAACTTTTTACAGTTAACTAATTTTCTCCAAAAAGTCTCTTGAGAAAAAGGTTTCCATATATCCAATGTCATATATGTCTTGACATTTTCTAGTTACGGAATGAATTTGGCATAACTCATAATTTATTCTGTAACTAGAAAATTTGGGGCTGCCTCCTGAAAGTAGTTTCCATTCTCTTTTATGCAGATAGTTGAAGGTATTGATTGTATATGATGGCATGAGTAAAGGAAATGGAAAATTATTGATCATTCATTCATTCAATAAATATTGTGGAGGAGTGAAGAATTGCTATGTGCCAGGCACTTGATGTACTTTATCATGTTTAATTATCACAGCAATCTTCTAGTAGGTAGCTGCTATTATATTTAATTTTATAGATGAAGACTCTGATCTTTAGGAAATTAAGCAACTCTTTGAAGATCACATATGCATTAAGTGGCAGAACTGGGTTCATATGTGATACAGTGTTGTCTGTAAGCCTCTGCTTTTTAAATTATTTCATAAGATTTCCAGATTTGGGGAAAAAAGACTGTTCCCCAAAGCCAGCTGAAAAATATCTATTCATATAGGTTTACATCTTTATAATATATCCAAAGTTTTTCTGTTTTGCAGATTAAAATAACTAGGGACCTTAGAGAGTTTTTGCCTGTGACCTATTTTCTAACTGTTAATTGAGAGAAAAAAAAAACAGACTTAGTCATTACGAAATCGTGTGCAGTAGAGCGAGACTTTTTTTCCCCCTAGAATAGCCTTAAGCTTTTGTTGCATACTTAGTATATATTAGTTTTTACTCTGGGACATTAAGAAAGTAGGCATACCATAATTCATGAAAAAGAGTTTATACTTTCTGATACAAAACTATATTGTTGGCTAAGCAATATAGAAGCTTACCCTGGTCAAATTGGACATTCATGAGGTAATAAGGCAAGGAATGTCTCCATTTTACAGGTGCGAAACTGAAGCTCAGAGTAAATCAGTTGCACATCTCAGTAAATGGAATGTAGGTACCGTGTTTCCCTGAAAATAAGACCTACCCACAAAATAAGCCCTAGTAGTATTTCTAAGCATTTGCTCAATATAAGCCCTACCCAAAAATAAGACCTAGTGATGGGTGTGGCTATGCAGCGTATCTGCACAACCCATGCATATCATCTTGGAGCGGTACAGAGTGGTAAAGAAGATAAGTAGCCCTTCTCATCTGCCCCATGAGAGCTCTATTGCTCGACATGAGAGATTGGGGCCAATGGTTATAAAGGAAATAGAGTCGCAAGAAATTCAGGATGGAATTCAGAGTTTAGAGAGTTATGATGATGTTCCAGAAGATGACTTAACTATATTTGAATAAATGTAGATTGTTGTACTGTACTTAAAAAAATAACACATCTCCTGAAAATAAGCCCTAGGGTGTCTTCTTGAAGAAAAATAAATATAAGACCCTGTCTTATTTTCGGGGAAACACGGTAAATGAATTCTTCCATTTGTTCAAGTGAGACGACTTATAATCATTCTTGACTCTGCTTTCTCTCATACCCTAATGTTTCGTCCATTGGCAAATGCCATCAGTTCTATTATATCCAGAATCCAATCAATTCTCTTCACCTCTGTGATTAATACTCTGGTACAAGTCACTGTCATCTCCTAACTGCTTCATCTTGATACCTCAGTCTGTCCTTCATTTAGGAGGCAGTGATTCTTTTCATATAAAATCACATTAAATTTCTCCTCTGTTCAACATACACCAGTGGTTTCCCATCTCACTTTAGAATAAAAATCAAGATCCTTAACAGTGGTCTAAAAGGCCCCACATGATCTGTACTCATTTCTGCTCTACTACAATGCTCTTCTTCCAATTTATGCATGGCTCATTCACTTTTCACTTACCTCCTCAGATTTCTGCTGACATGTCATCTTATTGGAGAGTTCTTCCCATCCTTACTATATAAAATAGAATCCTCTTAATCCAGCACTGCCCAGTTGTCAATCCTGCTTTATTTTCCTCCATAGCATTATTTTCCACATATAATTTACTTGTTTATTGTTGTCTCTGCCTCCTAAAATGTAATAATGTCCATGAGAGTGAGACTTGACTTTATTCATTGCTAAATCCCCAGTACCTAACATGTGCCTCATATGTAGTAGATGCTTAATTTGTTGAATGAATACATGGATGAATGGAGATAGGTAATGAGAAATGGAATGGGGACTTGAACTTTGGCAATTTCACAAAATGTATTTCCTTATGGAAAATATTATTTGATTCTGCAGTCTTTGGATACTTCCCAAGTGTTGCTTATTGGGCTGGGTGCTGTCAATACTTTTGCATTGCTTTTATCCAGCAATGACAGTAGTTTTGATTAAACTTGCCATGCTTTCATATCTTTGTTCCACTTTCAGCTAAGTGGAATCAAATTTGTGTAAGTAAATTTGTGGAATCAAGGTTAAGGTTTAACTTAACCTTCTAATACTAACTAGCCTGGGGAATCAAATTTTAAATCTTTGATGGTATAGCTAACCAGCGTAGAAATTGTTACTGTTTAATTATGTAACGAATAATTTCACATTAGTTGTATAATTCCTGTCTTTAAATCTCATCTGAATTCTTGTAGGAAATATTTTTAAAAATCATATCTAACTCAATCTAGTTAATATACTTTTTATTGGATTTCAAGATTTCTTTCCTTTTATTTATCGTGAGTAAATATAAATGCTATTATCATCTGTTCTAATAGGTAATTGTATTTTCCCAAATTATTTTTCATTTAGGATTTTTAGTATTCACATTTATTTTTTTTTTTTTTTGGAAAGATACGATTTTTTTGGTAAAGGTATTAAACTGTTCAGGAAGGAATACACTGAAAAATAGCTTATATATTTTATGTAAATTATCATTACTAAGTTTAATGTTTATTTTATAACTTATTGGTTTGTAGCCTCTTATATTCTTTTTTCCTTAAACATACTTTCTGTTTAAATTACAGGAAGAGACACCTTAGATGAGTGTGGTTTGAGATACTTGTTAGCTATGCGCCTGCATACATGCCTTTTGACTTCACTGCCTCCTTTATACCGAGTGCAGCTACTTCATCAAGGTATTCCACTCATTGTTTGAACCTGTGCACAACTTTTACTTAGTATTGAAGTGGTGGGTGTATTCTTGTCTGTGTGTAAGCATTAGGTGAGTCATTATATGCATACCTATCCCTGGCTTTAAGATATTCCTGTCACATAGTATTCACTTAGCATTCTTCTGTGTGTCCTTCAGCTCTGTTCTGCGACTTTTGCTCATTTGACTCAATTTCTTAGACTTTATTCATTAAAGTTATAGTAGTTTAGGGAGTAAACATGGTGTACCTGAGGTCGTAGCCCACAGCGGCCCTCTACAAAGTAGCCCTGAATTTCTTTCTGATGCCTTTTCTTTAAAAATTATGCAAATTGTGCTCTACATGTTATTTGTATTTATTTTAATATAAGCAATATGTTGTAGTAATTTTACCAACAAGTAAAGTTAATGTTTCAGAAAGATCTGCCATATTGATACAGTGGATTTGCATACTTCTAGCATACTGCCACACTTTGATTGAGACATAATGATTTATATCAGCCGCCTTACTTATAGATTAAAAAATTGAAGCTATAGAATTTAAAGTGACCTGCCCAGGATATAGGACTATTTATTAGTAGAGTTGGAATTAGAATCCCAGTTCAGTGCCCATTTCATTAGACTATATTTCTTTCAAAACCAGCATCCGGGACACAGCTCCATAATATGTACATTAGTATTGCAGGACCTAGAATACCAGGCTTGATGGACTGTTACTGTTATCCATGGCACTTACTCTTTAATGTTCTTTGAAAACATGATTTTAAATAGCTATCTAATATTCTTTTATGAGTCTAAACTATATTTCATCTACCCAACCCTTTATTTTTGAAACATTTAGATTTTGCTGTTTTTTTCCCATTTGAATGAATAGCCTTATAACCTTGCACATAAATATTTATGTATATTTCTGATTATTTCCTCATGTTGGTTTTCTAGTAGTGGAATTGCTGAGTCAAAAGGCATAAAAATTCTTCACTCTTGATGAGCATTGCCAAAATTCTCTTTAGAAAGACTGTGCTCGTTTACATTCCCAGAAATTTGATGATGCCAAAACTCAACCCACTGCCAACATTTGATAGTCATTTTAAACAATCTATGCTATTTGGATAGGTTTGAAAAATGGTATCTTGGTGTTCTTTTAAATTTTAGTTTTAAATAATGGTTAAGTGGTACAGAATCAATTAAAGACAATTTTGTACATTGCCTAGGGGAAATCTAAAACACTTCAAATTTCTAAAGTTTTGTCAAATTCCATTTTCCCTTTGACTACAGTTAAAACATTGGAGATGAGAAGTGACTGGTGTTATAGGTGATGGTCCTGGGAGCAATTTTCAGGGAAAAAGTTAAGTAGCCAGTACCTAGATAGAAAAGCTAAGAAGAGCAGAGATAAACTGCAAAGAATAGCCTGCCATTGGTAGGTAAACAAAAATAAGTGCCTGTTGGTGCCCCTGTTCTTTTTCTTCCCTGATAACTTTTTTCACTTCTAATATGTTTTCAAATACATTCACTGCTCTCCTCATCTTGTTTTCTGAACCTAATTCCTCTGATATGCCTGTGTGCATTTTTGTTAATTCTTAATCAGACCAAAATTTTAATTAACTTTAAGGGTATAGAAAGTAATATATCTTATATTGTTCTTTTATATTATAAATTTTATATTATAAAATTATACATTTTTATATTGCTATATGATAGTTTCTAAAGCAGAATATCAGTTAGTTGATGTAGTAATTTTTTCTTACATCAGATAGAAATTTAGTGAGAAAATCTGCCTTTTATGAAAAACTAAATTGATGTTATTAAATTTTGTCCAATTTTTTTCCTAAATTTATAGTGGCACTCAAGACTTGTTGCATTAGTGTTGTGGTACAATTTCAAACACAGTTGTATGTAAGCGTTAGCAGTGGGAAATTGAAAATATTTAAGATTATTCTTCAAAATGATCATGATAGTTTTTTCTTCTATACTTTCTAAAAAAATTATTGTGAAGCAATAATTATTAGAAGAGCTTTAAATTACATATCAAATCTATATAGTAGTTCAAAGTGAAAAAATTATGTATATTAATAATAATGTTGATACTTTAATATCATTGAGAAGTCTGTGTTACAATGTGACTATCATTTACCTCAGATATTTCTTCATTTCCTAAGTGGGTTCAAATACATGGTTGTTTGGACTAGTCTGGCTTCTTTCCAATACTTTTCAGGATCTTCCCAGCATTCCCAATGTCTATTACCATCTATTCTCTGTGGTTCACTTTCATCTTGTTTCTTTTTCACCTGCTCTAAGTGGAGTAGAGTGTTACCAGTAGTTAAACTGTTGATAAATCCATTTGTACTCACAAGTCCCATGGTGTCACTAAAGATTTTGTTCCCTCTAAACACAGCCTATATCCTTGTCAGTCTTCTCCTAGGGTCAAAAAACAGGTTTGCAGGATAGCATCAGTATTAAGCAGCTTTAAACTACTTATAGCCCCAGGCACTAAAGGCAGAGGAATGTACTTTGTGACTATAACTTATCACTGATATTCCCTGGATCTCTCATGAAGTTTAGAGCTTGCTTTGAAGTGATTTTAGCTCCATGCGGAGAGAAGAATGGGGCAGTTTTTAATATGCGATACGGAAGCATGTGGTCCTCAAGCAAGTGGCACTGGAATCAACACCCAAACACGTGGGCCAAGTGCTTTTAACTTGACTAAAATTTTCACTCTTGATAAATTTGGTGTGCACATATGAATCACTCAGTATTCAAATATCTTTCTTTCCAGTGATTAAGTGTTAGCGTCTCTATTTTTGTGGGGGAAACAACAGCGAATATATTATTTGGAAAAAAGAGATTTGGGTTTTGTGTCCTGTTACTGATCTTGTATTCAGAAGCTTATAGTGTAAAATCCTGAATAATGACAACTTTCTTTCATTCTTTCTTTGTGCTTGAAAATTCTTTACAAAATGAATGAATACGTGACTGCATGAAAGATTGTTTTTGTTCTTTTTTTGGTATAGTTACAAAGGTTATTATTTTGTATTTCCAATTTAGGTGTCTCTACATGCCATTTTGCCTGGGCTTTTCATTCTGAGGCTGAGGAAGAACTGATTAATATGATTCCAGCAATTCAGAGAGGGGACCCTCAGTGGTCTGAATTAAGAGCTATGGGAATAGGGTGGTGGGTAAGGAATATTAACACACTGCGAAGATGCATTGAAAAGGTAACTTTTCTTCTTTGGATTTTGAAGTTATATTTTAAAAAAGGTCTTTTCTTCAAAGAAGTTATTATCTTCCAGAAAACCTGTAGTGGAGAATAGGTTTGTATATCTTGAGAAATTAAGAATTTTTTAATAAATTTTTTTGAGATTCCAAAAACTTGACCTTTATAAAATGTTCATGCACTATGATATCAATTGTTTCTTGCTATATAGACTGAATTTATAATATAGCTATGGAATAGCAATATTATCTGTTACTATTTGAAGTGTGTCCTACTTTAAGAAATACAAAAATCTAAATTTAGAAGTAAACTTAAGTTCTCATTCATTATTTACATTACATAGAAAAATCATTCTTTTTATATAAAGGCATGTCCTACTTTAAGAAAATACAAAAATCTAAATTTAGAAGTAAACTTAAGTTCTCATTCATTATTTACATTACATAGAAAAATCATTCTTTTTATATAAAGGAGTGTCCTACTTTAAGAAAATACAAAAATCTAAATTTAGACGTAAACTTAAGTTCTCATTCATTATTTGCATTACATAGAAAAATTATTCTATTTATATATAAAGGATTCTCTACATTACTAGTTTAATAAGTGGCAAATTTCCTTTGCATACTTTCAATATCATTCAATAAAAAGGTTTTTTTTTTTTACAGGGGGAGAGGAAATCAGTTTTATTTTAAAACTAATTACTTACATATTGCTTTGATTTGTGTGTACTTGAAGAATATATCTGTGGCAGCAAGTGAAATATGCTATAAATTTCTTTCTGATAGATTCCTTTTAGAAAAAATTTTCAATTTTGTATGTTAGTGGAAACTGAAAGTTCTTTCAGTGTTGCTGTTTACTGAGCACTTACTGTGTATCAGGTTTGGTGGCAATTGCTTTTCATAAATAATTTCATATAATATTTACAACCACGTGTTATCATCTCCATCTTACTTACACATGGTGGAACTAAGACTCAGAGAGGTTAGGGAACCAGTTCAGATTCCAGTCATTTATATTAATAAGTGTTAGGTTTAATCTGTGCCATTTCTATCAGGGTGAGGAAAATAGAATTCTCATTCATATTTTACTTTTAGTCCATTGAAATTTCCTGGAGTACAGTCAGTGGTACTGTATTTGTGAAGCATGCATCTATTTCTCCCAAGGATGCAGAGACCTTTCCTATGTTATTCTTCTACCGTAGTAGTTCCTCAATTTTAGTGTCAGAAGAATCACCTGGCAAAGTTACTTGAAATGCATATTCCCCATCCCTGCTTAGAGATTTTAATTTCTTAGGTTGGTAGTAGGGCTGAGGCTTCTTCATCTTTATTAGCATCCTATGATTCTGCTGTACCTGGTTCATAGATCACACTTTGAAATATGAGTATAAAAGTGTTATTTTTCTGCTACATGTAAGGCAGCCAACAGGATGTAAGCATTTCTGTTCTCAAAATAGGCACAAATGTAAGAAAGAATTCCCATATCAACTAAGAAATGTGGTTTCTGGTATAGGGAAAGTTAATTGTTATGGTATATAAATAGTACAGTATCTACATTAATTTTTTTATATCCCCAAAGCAGTAGGAAAAAAGAAGACACATTTTATCAGAAATGTTTCTGCTCTATGTTACAAAGATCTCTTTACTTTCTTGTCAACATGTGTTTTGTCATTATAATTGATTATTTGTGATAGAAACACATGATTTATTTCCACAGGTAATTTATTTCTTAAATGTAAATCAAAGGGATATGTACACTTTTGCCTTGAAATATAATAAATCCTTAGCTTAATATGAATTAAAAAATCCTCTAAAAATGATTGACACTTGAAACACTAAGTTAAATGATGGAGGGCAGAGGAAATAATAAAAAAAGGGTGGGGAAATGGAAATAAAAGAGTATTGCAAGTAAAGCATTTCCATGATGCAATTTTAGGTATCTTTTCCCCTTTCTTCCACACCTCAGTAGCTTCCTGCTTTGCCATTAGTCAGTGTCAGCTAATAAAATATCCACTTTTTTTAAATTGTTATGCCTCTCAACTTAGTGATTTGCAGGGACTACCTCAGCATCTTTGAAAAATAAAATATAGTCTATATCAGGCGTCCTCAAACTACGGTATGCGGGCCTCTGGGTGTTTTTGCCGCCACTGCCTGTCCTGCTTAGCAGCCGACTTGTCCCGGGCCCACAGTGCGCACTCTCCAGTGGTCTGAGGGACAGTGAACTGGCCCCCTGTTTAAAAAGTTTGAGGACCCCTGGTCTATATGCTGCTGTGTTACGAACAACATAATTACATACAATGATAGTACTGGCTTAATAGTTTTTAAGTTTACACAAAGTTGATTGGCTCTGTATAAATTCAGCAACTTTGGTTATATGGCTCAAAGGATGTTATCAGTTATTATACATGGAGAATTATGTACTTATTAAAATGTTTTCTCATGGAACTACTAACAAAAGAACTAAAATTTGTAGGCCCTTCAAAATAAAGAAGCTTCAAGAACTTTGTTTAATTATATGCCAGAAAGAATGTGTCAATCCTTTATAATTGTCAAAAGCTTGATTGAAAAATACCAGAAAAGTATGTTTTTAAAAATATATGTTTAAAAAATACTGGAACAGTTATTTTTGTCTGTATTTTGTCTGTTTTAAAAATGTATATTTACATATATATGTGTATAGTTGATATTTATTCACAGATGTCTATATCAGTATTAGTTGAGAGAGCCTTCAATTGTGAAATCACATATACCATAGATATTAGCTTTTTTTTCTTTTTTCTTTTTTGAGACAAAAGAGTCTTACTCTCTTGCCCAGGCTAGAGTGCTGTGGCGTCAGCCTAGCTCACAGCAACCGCAGACTCCTGGGCTCAAGCAATCCTCCTGCCTCAGCCTCCCCTGTAGCTGGGACTACAGGCATCCGCCACCATGCCCGGCTAATTTTATATATATATTTTAGTTGGCCAATTAATTTATTTCTATTTTTAGTAGAGACGGGGTCTTGCTCTTGCTCAGGCTGGTTTTGAACTCCAGACCTTGAGCTATCCTCCCGCCTCAGCCTCCCAGAGTGCTAGGATTACAGGAGTGAGCCACCACGCCCAGCCAGCATTTTAACTTTTATTAAACATTAAGTAATATGTTATTTATTGAATGTTGAATTTTTGAGAAAAATATCTCATCTATTGAATATTCAGCCTTCTTTGTTGTTTCCTGTGTTAGTTTTATTACTACTATCTACATTCTAATACCTTTTCTATCCCTTACTGTGTGACCTTAGGCAATTCACTTAACCTCTCTGTCTCAATCACCTCATGGCTTGTGATTCAGTAAGATAAATGAAAGGTACTTACTACATGGTAAACAGTAAATGCTAGCTATAATTATTATTTTTATTGTAATTATTGGCAAGCAAATAAATGGTTGTCTCCAGGAGCATGTATTATAAGCTACTGGAGATTGTGGAGCAGAACCAACTTTTCTTGTCTGCATAGTTTCTATTAGCCATAGAAAGCATTAATTGTTGATTAATTGATTGTAATTCTTTTGTCAAATAGTTAATTTAATAATTTCTTTGTCATTTAGGTTGCCAAAGCTTCTTTTCAAAGGAACAATGATGCCTTAGATGCTGCATTATTCTACCTTTCAATGAAGAAGAAAGCAGTAGTATGGGGTCTGTTTAGGTAAGTTGCCTCAACATTTAACATGATTTAATGAAGTGAAGATTGTGCTGCGGATCAGAAATCTAATGCTTTTGAAAATAATAAGGTGTATGAACTTGGTCAAATCAACTTATTCCTTTGTGACTCGGTTCCTTTATCTGCAAAAAATGGTTAAAATATCTTTTCAACTTAATCTAAAGGGTGGGACATTGTTAAAAAGTTGATGAAAGCACTCTGGGAAGTAAAAAATACTCTTACTTCCTATTTGTGTATACATAAGGCATTATAAGCTTTTTTTTTTTATTAGAAGAAGTAAGGATAACTAGATAACAAATACCTGTCAACTGAAGTTATTGTTTTTCTTTTAGATGTATATTTGAGTTTTTTTATTTTTTATTTTTATGCATTCTGTGAAGAATTAAAAATACTTTAAATTTGGTTTAACCACTGATGTTTGTGCTTGGGTTTCCAGGTCACAGCATGATGAAAAAATGACAACATTTTTCAGCCACAATTTTAATGAAGATAGGTGGCGTAAAGCTGCTTTGAAAAATGCTTTTTCTTTACTTGGAAAACAACGCTTTGAACAATCTGCTGCTTTTTTCTTGCTAGCTGGTTCATTGAAAGATGCCATAGAGGTATAAATAAGAAAACAATCTATAAAATACTTGTAAGGCAATTGAAAACCTGTAAAGGTCATAGAGGAGATTGTAATTTTTTGTCATATGTAAAGACAGACAATAACTACAGAGGTTGCTGAACTTAAAATAATGGTGTTGTGGTAAATGAAAACATAAATAAATTCAAGGGAGAAACAAATGAAAATTTCATATATGGCACATTGCATTTCAAGATAATATGTAAAATGTATGAAAAAAAGTTGAGAAATGGTTTATGAATTTCTTCCTGATCATCTTATGATTCTGGATTATTTAAAGTACACAGGTCACAACCTCCTTATCCTGTGCAGAAAGGCAGAAAACGTTATATTCTTTTTCTTCTAAATGAAATTCATAGATAAGGAACTGAATTTGCAGTTTGTACTGTTTTGTAATATATTTTATCTTAGATATTGGAAAATGAATGTGAGGAAATAAAACTTTGTACTTTTTGATATATCATCCTGGCAGGTGATTATGAGAGTAGTTACAGATGTTTCTGTTTACTTATGATATCTTCCTCTTAGGTTACTTACTATCATTATAAACAATATAAACAGGTGAAGGAATAATAGAATTGGAAATAGTATATGATTTAAAAATAGGAAATATCCAACTAAGTGAAAGTACTTTAAATTTAGAGATAGTAATTTTTTCACAATTATCCCAGGCATATGAATTTTTTTAAATAACAAACGCTTATAATTTTAAAGTGGGGAGTTCAGCTTAGAAGATACTCAAGTGATGAGAAATGTTGATATACTGAGAGATGCTCATATTGCCTGAGTGACCTCAAATTCTCAAGATTAGCAGTTATATTAGAATATAGGCTCCCAGAGAGTATGAATACAATATGTGGCTTTATTTCTTGTTATTTGCTATGTAAATACAAGGTCTTTTTAAAATATTATTACTTATGTTTAAATGGAAGTATAGTTGGAAATTAAGGGGAACTTGTACAAATTCAAATGTCATAAGTGTTATCTAATTTAAAAATGAATGTTCTTAATTTAAATCGACCTAAGTCTGAGATGATACTAATATATTTTGTTTGATGCTTATTTTATAAGTGATCTTTCTAGGATTGAAGCTACTAAGTTCTAGTTTCTGACTCTTATTGCTATTCCTTAATTTCCCATCAGTCATTTAACTACCCTTCACTGTGTCAACCTTTGGACCCGCCTCCCCACCATAAGAATATAAATGGTAGATAATTTCAGGGTATTGCTGGGATACTTCATGTCTCCAAATAATTATCATTAAGTAAGATAAGTATTTTTTAATATTTAAATTTGCAGGTATGTCTTGAAAAAATGGAAGATATTCAGCTAGCCATGGTTATTGCCCGTTTATATGAATCTGAATTTGAGACTTCATCCACTTACATATCCATCCTAAATCAGAAGATTTTGGGTTGCCAAAAGGATGGCTCAGGGTTCAGTTGCAAAAGATTACATCCTGATCCTTTCCTGCGTAGTCTAGCCTATTGGGTAATGAAAGATTACACCCGAGCCTTGGACACATTACTGGAACAGACACCAAAGGAGGAGGATGAACATGAAGGTGGGACATTTTGTGGGTTTTTCTTTTTCTTTTTTAAAGGAATGTAATTTAAGAACTAATGTTCACTTAGATTTAAAAGAATCATTATCAGATTTACTTTTTATTTTTTATTTTATTTATTTATTTTTTTTTAGATTTACTTTTCAACTTTGGGAAACCATTATCAAAATTTCTTGTGTTGTGGAAGGATTATCCACTGTTTGTAATTGCATCTAGCATTTTTGATGTCATAATTTGGGTAGTACTAAGAAGGCTTGACACATGTGTTTTACTCTCACAGTTATATTTTAAGGTATATAAGATAGGATTACCATTCTGTTTTAATTGCATATATATTAAACAAGTATACAAAATGTTTGCCACATTCTACAGCTTTTTCCACATAATAATATAGCCATTTTTTTAAAGTAGAAATTTTGGGCCAGGTGCAGTAGTTTATGCCTGTAATCCTAGCACTGTAGGAAGCTGAGGTGGAAGGCTTGCTTGAGGCCAACATAGCAAAACCCTGTCTCTACAAAAAATAGAAAAAATTAGCCAGGTGTGGTGTTGTGCATCTGTAGTCTCAACTACTGAGAAGGCTGAGGCAGGAGGATCACTTGAACCCAGGAGTTTGTGGTTGCAGTGAGTTATGATAACATTACTGCACTCTAGCCTGGGCAACCAAGTGAGACCCTATCTCAAAAAAAACAAACAAACAAACAAAAAAAAACACCATGAAATTTTGGCTTTCACACATACTAGTTTGGTGCACGGACCTGAAAAAAAATTTATTCTTGTGTGGCAAATTTTCTATACTCTTAGTTATCCTAAATAATTTAGATTTTTCAGGCACCTGGAGGATATTTATCAGCATTGTTTGCAATAATAAAAAATGGAACATTTTAAGTTTTTGCCAATAGAATAACTTTTAATATAATCATACTACAGAAAATAGTATGCCATTGAAGAAATGAGGCTGATTGACATGTTAATATGTGCTGTATTATTAAATGAAAAAAGATGCAGAGCATTGTGATTCTTGTTGCATTTTATATGTATATGTTGTACACACATGCCCTCTGGTGTGCACACACACGTGCTCAAGTGTGCACACACAGGTTGTGTCTGTCTCTTACATTTCCTGGTTGTTTCCTTGAATAAAGCATGAGAAAGTAAATACTGGTTATTGGCCATAGACTACCTTTTGGGAATAAGAGTGAGGAGATGTAAGCTTTTCCTTTTCCTATTGTACTTTCTATAGTTATAATTTCTGGCCTTATATTTTTATTACTATTTATTTTAAATGTTAAAAGATGTTACATGAGTAAAGAGAGTAGGGCCCAAATTTTCTTTTCTTTTTTTTTTTTTTTACAAAGAAATATAATGTTTTCATAAATATTATTAAAATTTTTAAAGAAAAGGAAATAAAAAATCTTAAAAGAAAAAGAAGTATCTGAGTTATCCTGATAATTTTAATAAGATATGCAAATTTTTATGGAAGGAAGATTCTGTTTATTTTCTAATGTTTTCTAGGTCAATATTTAAAAATTTGTTGTTATGAGAAATTTTAAATATATTTAAAAGAGAGGATAATATAATGAAATCAGTGAATTCATTACCCAGTTTTAATAGTTATCAACTCATAACTGAACTTGTTTCATGTATACTCCCACCCATTCCACCCCTGTTCTCAACATAGATTAATTATGAAGCAGATTCTGACATATCATTTTACCTCTAAATATTTCAATATGTATCTCTAAAAAATAAAGACTCTTAGAACATACTCTATAGCTAATTGATCACAACCAGTTACAGATTTCTTTGTTCCTTCTCCAGTCCCACTGTTTTACATGAATAGCCTTAAAAAAAAAAGCACATACCATTATAATAAAATTTTCTTGGTAATCATCAAATACACAGTCATTCAAATTTCTCTGGTTGTCCTATAAAATCTTATACAATTGATTAGGATCTAAATAAGGCCTATCTATGTATTGTGATTGGTTGAGGCATCTCTCTTGTTGACTTTAATGAATAGGTTCCTTCTTCCTTTTTGCTCTCTTTACAATATGTTTTTTAAAGAAGTCAGGTGGTTTTATCCTATAGTTTCTTGCATTTTGGATTTTGCTGATGGTATCCCTGTTCTTCAGTATGTTTAATATGTTCCTTAACATGTTTATTTTTTCCTGTGTTCTCTGTATTTCCTATAAATTGGTAATTAAGATTCTAGAGACTCTTAGCACATTTTTTGGCCAAAGTATTTTATAGGTGATGTGGAGTATTTCCTTCAGAGGATTTGTAATGTTGAGTTGTTTTGCGTTTTGTGGTATTAGCCATCAATGATCACTACCTAGATACTTTATTTCATTAGTGCTTACAAAATAATAAAATTCTAATTATGTCATTTTATCGTTCTTTTCTGAGCTGGAATGTGTCTTTAGAGTGCAATTTCAGTTAGTGACTGTTTGATTACTCTGAGCTTCAGTCATCTATATAGTAAAGGGAGCCTAAATGCTTGACTCTTTATTTACTAGTTTCAAAATAATGGGTTGGTTTCTTGACATCCCATAAAGATGACCAATTAGCTTTTTTTTTAACACCTTGCCATCCTAGGAAAAAATATTTTTTCTTGGGGCTACAGTGTTTTATTATGAAAATAGAATGAAAACTTTGAAATAAAATGATCCTTTCTCATTTAATGAAAAATTTGTTATTTTTTATTGTTTTCTGTACGTGAGTTATATGCAACTTGAAAAATAGTTTTTGTGGCTGTCAAGGTGAAGAGTTGTGTGAGTTACATATACTCCCAGGACCTGGGCTCAAAACTAATGTGAGTTAAATACAGCTCATGTGGCAGTTAAAGTGGTAAAGGTTATTTTGAATTCAGAGAGTTAGATAGATTTGCGTTTGAAACCTTTGCACTTTGTTTTCATGGATGGTCAGCTTGTCCCTCTGAAATAGGAACTTCTTCAAGTTCCTGAATTCTTTTGGCATTATTTCTTGATAGTTTTCTTGCTTTTTGATATTGCAAAATCTTTCAGTCTCATCTTGTACATTTCCTGCCCCAGACCAGGAAATGACCATTCCTCCAAAGAGTGCTTCCTTTTAGTGGGAAATAATATTTAAAGACTATAGTTAGGACACAGGGATCCTCTTTGCTGTTGATATGGTCATCATTTCTAGAGTATTTCAATGAATGGAGCTAGGAAATTTGTTCTTCTGGAGAATTTAGGAGTTTACACTGAAATTTCTAATTTACATACAGATTGTAGAGTTCTTAGATTTCAGATTTGTGCCTTATAATGAAAGGCTTGGATTCTCATGGCATTAACACAATTATTTGCTACTTATATACATATAATAATTTCAGAATAATAATACAAATATTTTGAATACTAACGTGATTACTAAGAACAGCTTAAACTTTTTTTTGCAGGTATTTTTGTTTTGTTTTTATGATATATTCTGCTAAGGATGTATAGTCAAATTACTTGTTTTAAAGTCACTTTTTGCAGTTCATCCCATAGTTGGTTATGCTACCAAGTTGATAGACAGATTTATTTAATTTTGCTTTTGCTTTTTGTAAAGTACTTTTTAAAATTCTTTTTCTTTTAAAATAATATAAAATGTTGACATGGTTTAAAATAAAATACATAAAACCAAGGTATTTTCAGAGAATTCTAGCTTCTTCCCATTTTACTCTCCCTTGTTAGTGAACCAAATATTTTTGGGTTTTTCTTCCCATTTACAAAAAGCAAATATGCATATAAGCAAATATGCATGAATATGTGTTTATATTCCCTCTCCACTTTCTTAAATAAAGGTAGTCTATATGGAGTGATTCCCATCAGTATAGAGTGATGTCCAGAATACAGAGGAAAGTAAACCTTCTTTTACTCAGTGTATCTGGGATTTGACTTTATCCTGGATATCACTCTATAGTGATGGAAATCACTCCATGGCATATTGGGATTTTTAAAAATATCAGCTATATACTTTATTTTTTGAGACAGAGTCTCGTTTTGTTGCCCAGGCTAGAGTGAGTGCCATGGCGTCAGCCTAGCTCACAGCAACCTCAAACTCCTGGGCTCCAGCGATCCTTCTGCCTCAGCCTCCCGAGTAGCTGGGACTACAGGCATGTGCCACCATGCCCGGCTAATTTTTTTATATATATATCAGTTGGCCAATTAATTTCTTTCTATTTATAGTAGAGACGGGGTCTTGCTCTTGCTCAGGCTGGTTTTGAACTCCTGACCTTGAGCAATCCGAGCTATATACTTTTAATGACTGCATGGATGTACCATAGTTTAACCTATCTTGAGTTAATATTTATATTTTATTTTTAAGAAATGCTGACATTCTTTTGTAATGTAAGTACAGAGTAACACAATTCTTTATTATTGTATCTGTTTGATTTCTATAGTTATCATCAAATCTTGTAACCCAGTGGTGTTTAGTTTTTACAACTACCTTCGAACTCATCCTTTGCTTATTCGAAGAAACCTTGCCTCCCCTGAAGGAACTTTGGCAACCTTAGGTCTCAAAACTGAGAAAAACTTTGTAGATAAAATTAACCTCATAGAAAGAAAATTATTCTTTACCACTGCAAATGCTCATTTTAAAGTTGGATGCCCTGTTTTAGCCTTAGAGGTACTCTCCAAAATTCCAAAAGTAACCAAAACATCTGCCTTACCTGCAAAAAAAGATCAGCCCCAGCCCGACTTTGTTTCTAAAAAGATGGATGATACACTGTCACAATCAAAAGCTCTGAATGATGGCAATGGAAGTTCCAATATTGATTGGTCAAATGTAACTTCGTCACAGTATGACTGGAGTCAGCCAATAGTAAAAGTTGACGAGGAACCTCTTAATCTTGATTGGGGTGAAGATCATGATAGTGCCTTAGATGAAGAGGAAGAAGATGCTGGTGGTTTAGTAATGAAAAGTACAGATGCCAGGGGAAAAGATAGACAAGAAGATCAGAAGTCCTTAGACCCTAATATGTTACTGACTCCTCAGGAAGAGGATTCCCATGAATGTGATACTGAAGTTGATGTGATTGCTGAACAACTAAAATTTAGAGCTTGTTTAAAGATCCTTATGACTGAACTAAGAACATTGGCAACAGGTTATGAAGTAGATGGAGGAAAACTCAGATTTCAACTCTATAACTGGCTTGAAAAGGAAATTGCTGCTTTGCATGATATATGTAATCATGAATCAGTTATTAAAGAATATTCCAGTAAAACATATGCCAAAGTAGAGAGTGATCTTCTAGATCATGAAGAAATGGTGGACAAACCAGACATTGGTTCCTATGAGCGCCACCAAATAGAGAGACGAAGATTGCAGGCTAAACGAGAGCATGCAGAAAGACGGAAATTGTGGCTGCAGAAAAACCAAGATCTCCTGAGAGTGTTTCTTAGTTATTGTAGCCTTCATGGGGCCCAGGGTGGTGGTCTGGCCTCAGTAAGGATGGAACTCAAATTTTTACTACAAGAATCACAGCAGGTAGGAACAGCACTTTTGTTTTCAATCTTGGTTATTTCAGTGATTTCAGTAGCTCTTCCAGTTACAGCTATAAAGTTCTTTTTACTAGTTAATCTAAAGATGTTTATATTGTCTGTTTGTAGAAGGCAGATGTTTAGTCTGTGTGAGTCATCCTATTTTTTTGCCAACTTAAAATGAAAATGTTTATATAAATTAACACATCCTGTTTAAAGTAGATTTGATGTTTAACTTAATTTTGAAGAAGAAAGTATATATACTTCCCATATTAATAAATCACATCAAATAAGTAGGAAGTTTCAATAACAAGCCTGTGAATACATTGAAACTCCTTTTTATATTAAAATTTAAAATGAAAAACAAATCCAGATTGAACATAGTTGATTGCAAAATATAATGCAATTTTGAACATTTAAAATTATGAAAATATGCAAAATTCATGGGCAACACAACTAGGCATTTATACATTTTCCGTTATGTGGAGAATACTAAAAATTTCTCTACTTTTTATCCACATCAGATAAATGATTTAAACCAAATGTTTGCTTTGGAAAGTCTTAACTTAGGATCTCAGTAGTATAAAAAGCAATAATTTTTCAGTCTGTAAACAGTAGTCGTGTTTTTTCTCCTTTCCTTTTTTTTTTTTTTAAAATATCAACTTTTACCACATAAAAACAAAACCAAAAAACCCATACAAACCAAAATCAGCAGCATACATGAGTCTTCTTAGACTAAAGTTTTTGTGATTAGAAGGCATAAAAGCTTGAGCGCATACTTGTGTCATGTGCATCTTTATATCTTCTGCATCCAGCACAGTACCTGGTACCTACTGGGTGCCGAATAAATTTCTGTAAAATGAGTGAATAAGTAATTGAACATATTGCTTTTACACAGTATTTATCACCAGTATTTTTACCTGTTAACAGCTGAGGTTTTTTTCTTTCATTTTGAACTACCTTGAAAAAAATAATTCACTGTCACCCACAGGAAACAACAGTAAAGCAGCTCCAGTCTCCACTACCATTGCCTACCACCCTACCTCTGCTTTCAGCAAGTATTGCTTCGACAAAAACAGTCATAGCTAATCCTGTATTGTACTTAAATAATCACATCCATGATATACTTTATACTATTGTTCAGATGAAAACACCACCTCATCCCAGTATTGAAGATGTGAAGGTAATGTAAAGCTTATGATTGTTTGATATTGTACACACTGAGAAGGTAAATATGTTATACTTGTCTTCTAATTTGAACTTAGAGAAAATATGTTAAAGTGCTGTTAGGTGCTACCTTTCTCCTTCCCGATGAGTCAGTTCAAAACTGTTTGTCCAATGAATGTAATTTAAAAATAAGCATTCCTCTTACTTCTGGAAAATTTATTGTCTTCTTTTAAGATAGGTAATAAAACTAATTTTCTGGAAAGTATTCTTGCCACTTAATATTCATTTAGACCTTCTATTCCCCTTAAATGAACTTTTAAGTTAGAAATGTTTATGACTGTTTACATGCTAAGATAATATGATGATGTAAGTTGGGGAGTACTTGGGAGGGAGCCAGGATCGATCAGAAATGGTCCCAGAGAAAGTACCCTTATTACTGTTTCCTTGATGATTGTGCTTATTGGAGGCTGTGCAATAATTAGAGGCAATCAGAGTTTTGGAAGAGTTAATACCCTAAATTAAACCTATACCCTATGCTGAGATATGAAAAATGGATACATTCCAAAAAGCACTAGGATCAGACTTCCAGTGTGCCAGCCTAAGTGTACTTGTGCTATGCTTTTTTCCAATTCTAGTGGCTGAGGCACATTTTAGGTCCCCAATATTCTAATTTTTTACTTGTTTTGTTTGACAGACAGGTTTTATCTCTGATAGTATATTTTTCTGAAGGCCTGCCCACATCAACCTATTAGGAACTTCTAATCCATAGTGTGAATTAATCTATGTCAGTATTTTAAGCAGGGATTTACTGGTCACATCAATCCATTAGAGACTTGTGATCTATATTTGTGCTTCTAATGCATGGTGTGGATTAATTGATATCAGTATTTTAACAGAGATTACTTAAATTGTTTCTTAGATGAATATGGAAATGTATATATGGATATGTATATAAATTCTAAGTAAACATTTCTAGTTCCTAGAAATTGAGATAAGACTTTCAAAGAGTAATCTGTATAAAGCTTCCAAAGAACATGAAACTATTTCTAAGGTACTTGTAAATTTTAAGATTTTATGAGTCCGAAAATATTGATTCAGTATGGCACTCCTGGTTGTAGTTTGTATATTACATGGATAAATTTTAAACTTTATAAAATTCTAAGACTATCCCTTCTCAATGAATAGCAGGTAAATTACTTGCTTTCTGGAAAATCAGCCATTTCATACAGTGATTGATATATTTACTAAACAGATTTAAGTCATTCATATTGATAAGGCTAAGTCTTTATTTTCATCAAAGGGAATTTCATAAGGCAAGCTTAAATAAAAGCTCTGAAAATTCTATACTTATTTTGGTTTTGCCTTTTTGAATATTATTATTTAAGCTAATTGTTAGTAGGCTAGGACAAGACCCAGTAATACCAACATTGGCACTTTGCTCAGGGCCTGGTAAATGGCAGGCTCACAGTAAGTAAATATTGATAAAGATGTGTCTGAAACAATCAGCTTTGTTGTGGGCATGCAAATAAAGACGGGTGAGAGTTATTTTAGAAGTTCTAAAGCAGAGTTAGTAGTTTCATATAGGATCTAGTCTTTTACTATTGCTAGTTTCCTGGGTATTTTCTGATTTTTAAGATATTGCTGTTATGTAGAAATGTTAGTATAAAATGTAATTGTGGCTGTTTTGGTTTTAGGTGCACACACTTCATTCACTAGCAGCATCACTTTCTGCATCAATTTACCAAGCATTATGTGACAGTCATAGCTACAGGTAAAAAAAAAAAAAAAAAAATCACCCAAAATAGCATTAATACAACAAAAACGTTCCAGAGCTACATTAAATTTCTATTTCCTAGGTACTGAAAAAATCCCCAAATATGACTACCATGTATATTTTAATAGATGAGAGAGAATCAGAAATAGTTATTTGTTTACTTGTCACCTAGTAACAACAGAAAAATATAGACAGTGACAAATAATATATGTAAATTATCATCACCATCTTTTTTGTTTTCAAGAAAAAAGTTTACTGTCCAAAATAATTTCTAGTATGAAATTTTCTAATATTTTTCCTTAGGAACTGTTGCTTTTTGCATTAGATTAGCTTCTATTTGTTTCACTGGTTTGAGTTGAAAGAAAAAATACTTTTGAAAAATGAAAAAGTACATTCCTACATTCCTAAAATTGAATTATTAAAATTAATTTTATTTACCCATTCACGGATAATGTAAAAGTCTTTGGAAGTGATATCAATTAGAAGTAATGGTTTGAATTTTTCTAAAAGTCAAATTGCCTTCATCAATCTATGCTTTACATTTTAATGACTAGGGCAATCAATATAATTAGTAAGATAATGAATCACTTGGAAAGATGGCCTAGATTTAAATGAATTATGTTAATAAATAAAAAGTTTGTAATAGATTCACGTGAAATTTACATTAAATATGTGTAGCTTTTTAAATTTTTTTTGTAAATTTAGCAGCCTTTTGTGGGAACATTTGATATTGAATAAGGACTTACTCTCTCAAAATGGCCTATACTCTGATTTTAATCTAATTAGGCCATATCTAAATAACTCCAAAGATTAGAAATGTAAATAAATAAGGAAAAACAAGTTGATTTAGTTGACTGTTGTCATCTAAATGATCAAAGACAACTTGATATCAGTCACTGGTTAAAATGGCACTAAATGAGAATTAAAATACATTGTTTCTAAATGTGTTTTTTCCAATCCTTAGTCTATGATTTACTCTCAGTGACTCAGCTTTACTTTCTGCTTTTGTATTTTCCCCAACTTCGCGAAGATAGCCATTATAAAGAGGGAAGTAAATATTTGAGGACATTTGGCTTTAGGTTTAGGTATTTCTAAAATCTGATTGTCCAGATTTTATTTCATATTTTAATTTAGAGGTAAGCTTGCACAACTTTGCAGAACTAGGAAATGAAGCAAACTGGTACCCTGAAACTTTCTGCCTGCTATATCCTAATATCAACAATAGTCTCCTTACCTCAGACTTTTAAAAAAATGTATGTAAATAGAAAAGATTTTGAAGTATTAAGTGGCATCTGGAAAAGACTTTAACAAACTAAATGTCATCTTTCCAACATAGTAAAATTTGGTATTTTGTTTTAAGAAACTGTCAATAAACATTTATAACTAACTTTAAGAACTTTCTAAAATAAAATTTTTATTAGAACACTGCATTCATTTTTAAGAATTTTTTAAATAATCATCTAAAATAGATGATGTACATAAAGTACAATTATTACCTCTCTTAGGATGATAAATAACTGAACCTATTTGTTTCAGCAGTCAAACAGAAGGAAATCAGTTTACAGGAATGGCTTACCAAGGACTTCTTTTAAGTGATCGTCGAAGACTAAGGACAGAAAGCATTGAAGAACATGCAACACCAAATTCTTCTCCTGCTCAATGGCCTGGTGAGAATTTAAGTGATTTCCCCCCCTCCCCCAATCTTCTATTTGGTGTCAGTTCCTTTATAAAAAGCTACTCACTGGTTTTCTGATTGCTGCTATTTGTGGATTTGGTGAATGGTTTTTTATTTGTTTGTTTTTGATTATGTTTTCTGCTATGGATTAGGAATTCTTAAGTACTGTAAAAATTGTGTGAAGACTCAGAAAGTTAAGGTTCCAAAAACCTGTCTTGACCAACATAAAAAAGCAAAGTCTTAATATTCTTTCTAAGGGTAAGCATATCATCTCTTTCTTATCCTTAGAAATTCTGAATTAGAGTCTTAGCAATATCACAGACATAGCTTTACACATAGAGAAAATATAGTTATTCTCAGGAATGTCAGTTTATAAAGATTGGAGTGACCATTCTGGGGTATATATATCATGCTGGCTGTCCTTCTCTTTCTCTGGTCAACCATCTTTCTCATTGTCCACTTCAGTTATTTCAAACTTTCTCCACTCCTTTTAGTACCTTAAGTGTGTATTTAAAATTAGTTTAAGCATAGGTTTCTAGGAACATAGTGTTTTCATTTTAACTTTTATTTTGAAATAATTTCAGAGTTAAAAAATCTTGTAAAAATAGTATAAAGAATTTTGTGTAACATTTCCCACATATTCCCCAAATGTTAACATTATACCATACCTGATTTATCATTCCTTCCTTCTCTCTCTCTCTTTCACCCACTTACTATGTGTATATGGCAGAGTATAATTTTTTTCCTGAAATATTTGAGAGTAAGTTGCAGACATAATATCCTTTTCCATCTACATATTTCAGTGTGTATTTCCTAAAAACAGACATTCTCTTATATACCCCCAGCACAGTTATGTAACATTTGGACATTGGTACAGTACTGTTGTCTAATCTACAGACCTTTTTCAAATTTCACCAGTTGTCTCACTAATGCCTTTTTCTGGTCTGTGTAACATTTAGTTGCAATATCTCACTCCTCTAACATGGAGTAAAGTTCCTCCATCTTCCTCTTTCATGACTGACACTTTTGGAGAGTATGAACCAGTTATTTTTGTTAAATGTTCCTCAATTTGGGCTTTTCCTTTTCTTTTTCCTTTCCTTTCCTTTCCTTTTCCTTTTCTTTTTACAGATTTTTGCTCTATCATCCAGGCTAGAGTGCCATGGCATCAGCCTAGCTCACAGCAACCTCAAACTCCTGGGCTGAAGTGATCCTTATGCCTCAGCCTCCCAAGTAGCTAGGACTACAGGCACACACCACAACACCCAGCTAATGTTTTCTAATTTTTTTAGTTGCCTGGCCAATTTTTTTTTTTTTTTAATTTTTAGTAGAGATGGGGTCTCGCTTTTGCTCAGTCTGGTCTTACACTCCTGACCTCAGGCAATCCTCCCACTTCAGCCTCCCAGAATGCTAAGATTACAGGCGTGTCCTCTTATTTTTTCTTAATATTAGATTCAGGTTATGTATTTTTGGCAGGGATACCACAAAAAAGACATGCCCTTCTCAGTACAGAATATCAAGAGGTACTTGATGTCAGTTGGTCCTATTACTGTCCCATAACTTTGATCTTTTGGTAAAGTGGTTTCTGCCAAGTTTCTCCTTTGTAAAATTACTATTTTTTTCCTTTGTAATTAATCAGCATGTTTTGAAGAGATAGTTTGAGACTGTGTGAAATGTCATACTTTCACCTGTCACCTGCTAATTTTAGTATCTAGTGATGATTCTTGCCTGATTCAGATATCACTGTGGGGTTACTGGGTGGTGATTTTCTAATTCTATCACTCTTTCTACTTTTTAGTTGAAATTCTACTGTAAGGAAAATTTCCTTTCTTCCCTTTGTTATTTATTATATCAGTGTCAATGATATATAATGGATTCTTTATAGGCTATAAACTATTCCTATCATTTATTTTGTTGTTCAACTTGTGGAAATAATTTATTTTTGTAGCATATAGATACATAATTTTGATTAAATTGCAAATTTTGGTGTTTTTTTCCTTCGGGTGCTTTTTCCTGATATTTTTCTTATGATATTATATACCCTTACAGGTGTGAGCTCACTTATTAATCTTTTGAGTTCAGCTCAAGATGAAGACCAGCCAAAATTGAACATTTTATTATGTGAAGCTGTTGTTGCTGTTTACTTAAGTTTATTGATACATGCTCTTGCCACAAATTCCTCCAATGAATTGTTTCGACTTGCAGCCCACCCATTAAATAATCGAATGTGGGCTGCTGTTTTTGGAGGGGGTGTGAAACTTGTTGTGAAACCTCGAAGACAGTCAGAAAATATTTCAGGTAAGAGAAGTTTGATACCAGTAATGTATGTAAATGTAAATAATTTCTAATGTTCAAGATTTTTTAATGTTTTAAGAAATTTTATTTTGAAAATCAGTAATGTTTAATCACACTTGTTAAGGACAGTAAATAATTAGACCCGTGTCAGAATAAAAATGTAGTTTGTTACTTTTATATTAATAGAAACATTTTTGAGGATGATGAAGCAGGACATATTTGAAGAGGTTAAAAATAAATAGAGGAGAGATAAAGGTAACCAAAGAGACAATATTAAGGACCAAGGCCATAGAAAAAAGATAGTTCTTTTTTTTTTCTTTTTCCTTTTTTAGAGACAGGGTCTTGCTCTGTCACCCAGGCTGGAGAGTGATGGTGTGATCATAGTTCATGGCAACCTCAAAATTCCTGGGTTCAAGCGATCCTCCTGCCTCAGCCACCCTAATAGCTGGGACTACAAGTGTGTGCCACCACGCCTGGCTAATTTTTTTAATTTTTTGTAAAGATGGGTCTTGCTGTGTTGCCTAGGTTGGTCTCAAACTTCTGGCCTCAAGCAATTTTCTCACCTTGGCCTCCCAAAGCATTGGGATTACAGGTGTGAACTACCACACTCAGCCTAGGATAGTTCTTAGAGAAAGAAGATTTAAATAAATCCTCAAAATCTTTATATCTTTTTCTGTGACCTTTACAGAGCATGCCATCAGTTGGCTTCAGATTAAGTTTATGGTTATGTATAAGACGTTGTACATGGTTTTTAATTCCATTTCCTGTGTTTCTTCTGTTGTGGACCAGAATATATTTTTCATTCTGCTTTTTAAGATGGTAGGATATGGTGAGGTATAGACTTATGTCACTTGAAAGTTTTTAATTTTGGTGCTGAAACATAGAAATTATCTTAATTCATCCTTAGAAATGGACACATTACAGATCAGGAATCAGTGGCACAGAGAGTTTAAGTGACATAAGTTCTAACCTGTCCTTAATGCCCACAGTTGAGTTGAGTGTATAGGTTCCTGTGTGAGTCAACATAAGGAAGGTGATCTCACAACTCTCAATGCTTCCATTCCCAGTGTATGTGATGCCTCTTAATCTTTTTCTCCCTACCTAGTTGTAGACCACTTTTAACTTAAAAGTTTTTCTCCCAAATCTCTTCTTTCCCTTCCTGAATTTTCTGAGTTTTGTCTGTGGTAATTTTATCCATCAAGTCATCATCCATGCTTAAAACCTTCCAGGAAACATTCATGTTTACATTAATTCATTCACTTAACACCTACTATCTTTCAGGCAGTGTTCTAAGCTTTAGGAATATGGAAGTGAACAAAAAAACAGAGAAACCCTTTACCCTCATGAAGTTTATTACATCTAGTTAATTTACACAGTAAATTTACATAATAAATAATATTTCAGGAATGACAAGAACTATAATTAAAAAAATAAAGCAGGGGGAGTAAGTGGAAAGAGAGCAATGAGGGAATTGGGATGGGACCAGTTTAGTTAGGGTAGTCAGAAGACATGGTTCTAATGAGACAGTGTTTGAGCAGAGCCGTAGGGAAGTCAGGAGTCATACCCTGCAGATATCTGGGCCAGAGCATTCCAGGCAGAGGGAGTAGTGACTGCAAAGCAATAAGTGCTAAGGCAGAACTGAGTTTGGCTTTTTCCAAGAACTACAAGGAGACCATCATGACTATCATCAGTGAGGGTGCGTGGGGGTGGGGGTGTGTTGTAGCAGGTGAGCCTAGAGAAGTAGTTGGGGATGAGGTCATTTAGGGCTTCATAAGTCATGGGAAAGACTTTTTAGTTTTTGTTCTAAGAAAGATAGGAAACTACTGGAGGGTTTTAAGCAGAAAATTGACAAAATCTGATTTAGGTTTTCGGAAGACTCACTTTAGCTGCTTTGTGGAATAGACTGTGCAACAAGAATAGAAGTAGGGAGCCTGGGTAGGAGGCTGTTGTAATCGTTCACATAAAAGATAATTGTGGGTTACCATCAAGGATGAATAGATAAACAAAATGTGGTATATACATACAGTGGAATGTTACTGAGTCATAAAAAAGAATGAAGTACTAATACATACTACAGTCTGCATGAACCTCAGAAATACTATGCTGAGTCAAAGAAACCAGACATAAAAGGTCTCATATTGTATAACGCATTTATAAGAAATATCCAGAATAGGTAAATCCATAGAGACAGAAAGATGGTTGCTGTGGGCTCAGAGGAGGGAGAAATATAGAGTGAGTGCCTATTGGGTTCAGGGATTCCTTTTGGAGTGATGAGAATGCTTTGGGACTAGATAGAGGTGGTGGTTGAATAACATTGTAAATGTACTAAATTCCACTGAATTGTGCACTCTAAAATGGTTAATTTTATGATATATAAAATTCACCTCAATTGAAAAGCGAGTGGTGGTTTAGCCTATGGTGGTAGTAATGGATAGAGTGAAAAGTGGTCATATTCTGCATAAAATTTGAGGTGGGAGCTGATGAATTTGTTGATGAATTGTGTGTGGGTAAGGAAGAAATAGTTGAGATAGTTAACGTTTTCTGTGATGAGGAGTTTAGTAGAGGAGCAGGTTGACTTTTACTTTCTGATCTTCTCGTATGTAATTATCTTCTGAATCCTTTTGATATTTCTTTTATGTATCCTTCATATCTAACTCTTCCTCTAGTTTTTACCACCCACCATACTAGTGGAGGCCATTCTTATGTCATCTTATTCCGTCTTCCTTTCTGATCAAACAAACCATGCCTCATCATGTGGCTAAAGCTTAAGAAGCTTTAATGAGAACAGTCCATAAGGTTAGTTCCCAGACTCATGTTCACAGGCTGGGACCTAACTCTAGGCTTTATTATTGTCACTCCCCTCCCTGACTGCTGTCTAGCAAGGGTAGTTTACCCAAACCTCCTTTGGTCATTTGTTCATATTGTCCTTTCCCATCTTCCCATTGAGTTTCTGCCCTTCTTTTAAGGCACACTTTTATATTCTACATATACAGTGACTCTTTCTTGAACCACATAGCCAGAAATAATCATTTACTTGCATCAATACTTATTGAATATACCATTTAATACATTATATACAGAACTACTTTAATCCTTACTGTATACAGCACATAGACTACGTCATGGCAAGGGAGCCGTTAATGCTTTATCCCCATCTGCACCCTGATGTGACTTCTGGAAAACTGCTGCAGTAATTAGAAAAGTTTAGAAGCACAGATAGAAGTGATTTAGTCTCATCTAGAAAATGGAAAGAGTAGGATGAAAAAAAAAGGTTAACTGTATGAATTAATAATGGAAAAGAAATGCTGATTTTGTTCTTGTATCTTTATTCAGCACCTCCTGTTCCTCCTGAAGACATAGATAAACACCGCAGGAGATTCAACATGCGAATGCTGGTTCCCGGAAGGCCTGTAAAAGATGCTACTCCACCACCAGTGCCTGCGGAAAGACCATCTTACAAAGAAAAGTTCATTCCTCCTGAACTTAGTATGTGGGATTATTTTGTTGCAAAGGTAAGGAGTGTGAGGAACACTGGCTTTAGTTTAAGTGTGTCTATTTTATTAACTCTTGTGTATGTATCACATAGGAATGATGGGATAGCTTTTGGATTAAGTCACCATAGTTTAGAAATTTAATTTCTTAAGTCCAGAAGCTGAATAGTCTTAGTAAACTCAGGGATGATCAGATACTTGATGATTTATGAAACAAAACTAAAATCATCTGGGACTTAGGTATAAACCAGAAGTCTGCTTATTAACATCCAGTGAGCTTCATCTTTTTTAGTGACTGGAATACTTTTCTCTACTGTCTAGGCACCCCTCTTCTGACTATCAGTAATTCCTTGGTCAGCATGGAATTAGAGTAAAAGGAGATAGACATTTAGGGGTTTTATTAGGCCATGGTGAAACTCCATGACACAGGTCTGTTTCCCTGAGAGGAAAGAAAACTTCCTGGGGATCATAATATTCATGGTGACTAGATCCATCATAACCCCATTTCATACTATGCTGATACCTGCTTTTCTGCACTTTGCTTTTTTCTCATTTTGGTTCATTGCCCTCCTTCTGTTGATATTTCCCTCTTTACATGTGTTAACACTATTGTCACCTTGCTGTGCATGCATATAAGGGAATACATCTCCTGTCATGCCTCTTCTCATTTTTACATTTTTATTAGATCTCAGAGTTCTTGAGGTGCTGGTCCCACTCTGTTTTTGGTAGGGTAAGCTGATTTTTAGAAAGTTTTTCAAAGTGAGATTTGAAGCTTTGTTTTGTTATCTACAAACTTTGGCTGTGCTGGTGGTTCTCAAAGTGTGGTCCAAGAACCAGCAGCATCAGCATCTCTTGGAAACTTGTGAGAAATGCAAATTCTTTTTAAACCCACCTCAGACCTACTCAATCAGAAACTCTGGGAGTGAGAATCAACAATCTGTGTTTTAACTCTACATGATTCTCTGATGTGTGCTGAAGTTTGAGAACCACTAGGTTAGGCAAATTTTGAGTGTAGATTTCCAGGTTTACATTACATCAGGATTTCAGTTTATACTTCCAGGATCATTCTGGCTTGTCCCTGGCAGCTGCTAATGGAGTTGCATTTAATTGTATTTAGCTAATAAGCCAGGGTATTAATAAAATCTCTTAAATATTTATAGGCAGTTTCCACCCCTACATTTCAATTTAAAATTTCCCTTTGTGATTATGAAAGCCCATTACATCATTAATGTGCATGATGACAACACTAACATTTGTGATGTGCCCACTTAATTTTTGATTGTCAAAAATGTTTCTTCCTGAAAATGCGTCAATGTAAGTTTTGAAAATTTGGGAAATGTAAAAAAAGTATAGAGGAGGAAATTAGCATTAATCTACTCAAACATAACTGTTAACACTCTGCCAAACTTGCTTCTAATCTTTTTTCCTCAGATTTAAAAATAGCTGGGCATGGTGGCTTGTGCCTATAATCCCAGCTCTTTGAGGGCCTGAGGTAAGAGCAACACTTGAGACCAGTAGTTTGAGACTAGCCTGGTCAACACAGTGAAACATTGTCTCTACAAAAAGAAAAAAAAAGTGTGTGCACACACACACACTCATAATTGGATCACTATATTTAATTTTAAATTTGTTTTTTTCAATTAACATTATAAGACAATTTCCCATACCATTAAAAACATGTATAGCTATCATTAAAAAACCTTTATTATGAAAAACTTCAAACATAAACAAAAGGAGAGATAATACATGTGAATCATTATCTACCATGATCCAACTTCAAAAATTATCGGTTCATGGGCAGTCTTGTTTCATTTATACTTCTACCTGCTCCTTAGAGTGTTTGGAAGCAAATCCAAACATCATGAAATTTTATTCATAAATATGTCAGTATTTATTTTTTAAAAAGAAGAGTATGGAACATAACTATTCTAGAGTTATCGTACACACAGACACCCACAATATTTTAATATTATCAAGTATTAAGACAGTGTTCACATTTTCCCAGTTGAATCTTAAATGTTTTTCTACAGTTGGTTTGTTTAAATCAGGATCTAAAATAAAGTTCATGCATTGCAAGTGGTTGTTACATTGTAAATCGCTTTTAATCTATAGGTTCCACCTCCATCTCTTTTTAAAATTTACCTTTTTTTTCTGTCCCCAAAAGAATTTGAGCTGTTGAATTTCTCAGTGGATTTTGCTGATAGCATCCCCATATTTTGTTCCTCTGAACATATTCCTCTGAATTCTGTATTTCCCATAAAGTGAAAATTAAATCCAATTCCATTTTGATCGGGTAGGGAAGGGGAAGTTAGGATTAACTTCATGGGTGGTTTTGTGTATTTCTGTCAGCAAGCACTCTTTGTGATGTTAGTTGATGGTTATTCCCTAAATCCATTATTTTAGTGGGAGCTTTAAATTATGATAATATAATCCTGTCATTCTGGAATATGTCTCTTTACCAAACCATTTAGTTACACTGAAGTACATTTTGAATAGGAAAGACAGAGTAAATGCTCTATTCTTTGATTATATGTACAGTTTTCAAAATGATCCTTCAGAGGCCAGTAAGTTTTCTTTTAGTTTTTTACGATCTTACGCATTTAACATATTTTATATGGACATTTTGATTTAAGCATATTTTATATGGACATTTAAAAGCATATTTTATATGTTTTAATCCATTACAGCTATTATTCTTATGGGTGCTCAGATTATCCTATATTTGCCAGTGAGAGCCTCTTCCAGTTGGCTCCTCAATCTTTTTGAGACTATTCTACTAGTCTTTGAGTTTCCTTGTTTTCTAATATAAATTACTTATTTTAATATACACTAAACATACACGTAGGCTAATGATGCACATTTCCCACCCCAGGCTGGAAACAATCATTTCTACAAAAAACCTGGTTCCTTTTTGTGGGAAATGATATTTAGCAACCACAGTCAGGAGCTGGGGTGCTCAGTCTTACTGGGTTTCTAGATAAGTATCAGTTCTAATGACCACATACCTATTCAGCTTGATGAGTATGCTATAGTTAACTTAATCATTTGCTTATCAGAGATTTGATGTATTTATTTTTTCTATTTTTATAAATAATGCTGAGATTAATATTTTTTAAGATAAATCTTCATGTTCTGATTATTTCACTAAGAAATATTAGGTCAAAGGGTATGAACTTTAATAAGGCTTTTGACACATATTGCCAGATTACTTTCTAGATTACTAATTTGTACTCTCTTAAGAGTAGTGAGAGAATGCATCTGACTTTACCCTCATTGGCATTAAGTATTCCTTTTTAATTTTTGTTAATTCAATAAATAATTTTTTCCCTGTGACATTAAAATGTTAATGATCTTATTGCCATTTGATTTTCCAGTTTGAGGTATTGATTGTTCATATTCTTAACTGAATTATCTTTTGGGATTATAGTGTTTTTCCTTGTTTTTATACAGATTTTTTAATTAATAAAGAATAAATTAACCTAAAACTTTTCCAAATTAATCCCCAAATTTAATAAGCCTTTGGTGCAAAAAAATTTTTTAAAAAGTATATAAAAACATTCATCCATACTCTCCCTTGTGATTTATTACATTGTTTTTAAGCAGAGAAGGTCTTTTCCACTAATAAATATGCTTTTTATAATTTTATTCTCTTTTTCTTCCTCCTCCTTTTTAACTTTTAACTCTCTTATTTGTCTAGAATAAAGTGAGGATCAGACAGGATCAGACTTCATCTCCCTCTTTATCTCCTATCCATATACCGTCTAACTAGTTCTAGCATCATTCATTAAATAATTCTTCCCTTTCCCCTTTGATTTAAGGTGTTATAAATTCTTATACTATTTTTTTTACTATATTTTTGCAACAATCAATTGCTACAGTGCATTTTTTGTAATTACTTATTTTAATATACACTAAGAAATAGTGCCTTTTGTTTTAAAAGATTTCTCAGCTTGTCTGTTTTTTCTTCCCTATGAACTTCAGAATCATTATCAAGTTCCAAAAAAACAAAAGAAAAGAAATTTTTATGAGGATTTTTATTGAAATTACTTAAAACCTATATAAGTTAACTTGTAACGAATAATAGTTTTTACACATTTTAGTTCCCTCAAATAGTTTCAGAAGGGTTTGTAATTTCCTTCACTGGAGCTCTCTCACAGTTTTCATAGTTTTTCCTTTGGATTTTATGTTTTTCAGTATATCTTTTTTCTTTAGACTTTTCTAACTTTTTATTGCTGGTATATAAGAAGAAAACTATTGATTTTTAAAAATTTGTGCTATCTAGCTACTCAATTATTGTATTGAATCTGAGAGTTTTACCTGGTTATCTTCACTTTTGTAGGTCTAGCATCATTTGTAAAAAAAAAAAAAAATTATTGCTTACATTGTCACTATTGAAAATGTTTAGTTTTAAGTTAGCACAAAAATAATTATATATTTTAAATATTTATATCTAAAAATATATAATATGTAAAATATATGCTTAAAATATATTTTATGTTTATAAAATTATATATTTTAAAAATAACTTTACCTTTTATTGCAGCCATTTCTCCCTTTGTCTGATAGTGGTGTTATATATGATTCTGATGAAAGCATTCATAGTGAGGATGAAGAAGATGATGCCTTTTTTTCAGATACACAAATACAGGAGCACCAAGATCCAAATTCCTATAGGTAAATAAGGCTTTTCTTTTTTTTTCTTTTTGCCTTTTTTGGTAGAAAATTCTGATGTTATTAATTTTAAATAACATTATTACCATGAATTTTTAGAGAACTGACTTATATTTTCAGGTTATGGATTCTGTACCTTTTGAGTCAATTTCTAGATAGAGTATTTCCTTCACATTCAGTTTCAAAGAATATCTTTCATGCAGAGTACAAATGCAAACATTTTTAGTGAAAAAATATATATAATTTATTGATGTGCTGTTAGATTTTAATATATAATTTATTGACATGCTCTTAGATTCTGTGTGACTGTGTGGTAAATATTTTTCCACCAGGTAATTTTCAGATATTGCAAGGATGATTGATATATTACTGCATGCATATCTTTTATTTTTGAAGACTACAAAGGTGCCATTTTTTTATAGCAACTTTCATGACAGCTTTTTTTTTTGAGTTGGAGATTATGTAAACAATTGACAAGGAACATCATTATGCTTCTCCTGTGTTTTTAATTTTTAATTAAAGAAAATGTTTCCTTTTGCACCCCTTTAACAGTTGGGCTCTTCTACATTTGACAATGGTTAAGCTAGCACTTCACAATGTCAAGAATTTCTTTCCCATTGCTGGACTCGAATTCTCTGGTGAGTTTGGAATTTGAAAATTAATGTTATTAAATATAATAAATTACCATCCGTTTTTCTTTATAAAATCTGTATAAAAGGCCATTTGGTACGTTAAAAATATTGCATTGGAGATTTTATGAAGTCTTATTTATTTTAGGTGCCAGTCTATGACTTTAATTTATATAGCAGGAATTACTGATAGAAGATTGAAAGAGCAGGAAACCAGACTGGGGAATCTAGACAATTTCTCAGCTTTTAGAGAGCTGGCCTTCTGTTATTTTCAAAGCATTAGGTGTCCAAACTGTATTAGATTAACATTTTCACATTTTTTAATATTTCCAGAAGTATTGGCTCTAAGATTTTGAATTTTGTGAATAGGTGGATGATGGTCAATATTTTTTTATTAAAATAAAATGACATATTCTGTCACCTTTTAGAGTTGCCTGTAACATCACCATTAGGTATTGCTGTGATTAAAAACTTGGAGAACTGGGAACAGATCCTGCAAGAGAAAATGGATCAATTTGAAGGTCCACCCCCTAACTATATCAACACATATCCAACTGACCTTTCAGTAGGAGCTGGACCAGCTATTCTTCGAAATAAAGCAATGTTAGAACCTGAAAATACTCCATTCAAGTAAGAAAGCTCTTATAATGCTGATGAGAATGTAGTTTGGTTTAACTTTTCTGGAAGATAGTTGGCAAAATATGCCCATAGCCTTGAAAAAAATTTATAACTTTGAAACTACAAACCTATTTTAATAGTATACTCTAAGGAAAACATCAGAAATCAGGATAGAAGTTTTTTTCCCCCAGTATTACCTATAATTCAATAGGCATATTACTTTTATAATCAGGAAAATACCTTTATTGTATTACTTTCTGTATTTTTGTTGTTTTCAGAACTCTTACAGAAATTTTTTTGGGTGATAACCTACATATGCCAACAAGATGCCACTGACTTTTTTCAGTAATTTAACAGTAAACATATTTCTGGTTTGTATTGATATTTTAATCTACCTCCCATCTATGCCCTATTTGATATGCAGCATCTTTTTTTTTTTCTTTGAGGCAGCTGCCCGTGAGTATTGCTCATAAGCTTGAAAGAACAAAGCTTTTTAGCCTGTTAGCTTATTAGAAATGAAATCTATGACTTTATGTTTATTGGTGATATGCTTTAACCAAAAGGACCAACCTAAAGTATAATTCAAAAAGAAAAAGAGATTTATTTGACTCTGTCTCAGCCTAACTGATTCATTCAGTGTAACTAGAGAATTCATTGGTAGATAAATGAATGATTTAACTAAAAATAAATTATAAAATTTTGTAGAGCTGTGTCTTCTTTGTAATAGACTGTGGAAGTTTTTTTTAAAAGTATCTGAAAAAATGAAACACATTTTCTATGGACTATAAAATAGTATAAAATGTTCATTTTTTTAATAGGTCCCGAGAGTCTTCTGCACTTCCAGTGAAACGACTTTGGCATTTCCTCGTTAAACAAGAAGTCCTTCAAGAGACGTTTATTAGATATATTTTTACGAAGAAAAGAAAGCAGAGTGAGGTATCTTGAGAAGAACCTTTTCTGTTGTAATTTTTCATTAGTTTAACATTTCTAATGGTTTCAGTGCTTGGTTTATTTTAAATTTTCTTTTTGGTAGAACTTATTTTATTGACTTTCTTATATCCTGGGTAATAGTCAAAGTTTGCTAAACTATAGTGAACTTCTTTTAAGATAATACCTTATAATTTTCATTTCATAGCAATGAAACAAGATAGGTCATGTTGTATAATCAAGGAAAAGTTGGTACTTCCTTTATAATATTTATCACTGGGCTTTTACATGTAATGAACATGGTGGTGGATGGCTTGAGGACTTTAATATATAAACAAGTGTACTCTGTAATATGATTCTCCAAGTATCATTTAATTAAAAATACAATATAGTCCTTTACAAGGATTTTATTTAGCATTTAGAAATGAACAGGATAAACATTGGAAGCAACAAATTGAGGATAATTTTATGAGAGAATAAACTATAGAAATACCAAATACAACATGAAGGGAGATTGCTCTTATGAAGTATGGCAGGTTCTGCATTGCATGGTGATTTTTAAGCTAGTATAATTAGTAATGTGAAACCAGACATGGTGCAAGAAAAATCATGAGTTTGGGAGACTGGCAAATGATATCCTCCTTATAAAAGGAGGGTCATGAAGACCTTTGATAGGAGCATTTCAGTCTGGCCATTTTATGGTGTAATGAAAAGTTTGAAGAGTATTTAGAGTAATAATTAAAGATTTGACAAGCATAATCTATGAGAAGAGAAAAAGGAATTATATTTCACTTAGAAAAGTGAAAACTGAGAGAGAGAGTCCATATGACTCAATTTCCCAAGGTAAATATACAGAACCGCTTCTCAGTTTTTCCTCATACATAGGGTGGCAGAGCCTACCATACTCATTCTTTTAACTAGTCACCCTTACCTGGATAATAATTGTGGTAAGCCCTTGTTAAAAGTAATTTTCTCTATGGATTTAAAAATTGTATATTTAAATGAAGAAGTGGAGGAATGGACTATAGAGATTCTTTTGAGTCCTGTATTATTTTATTTTATTTTATTTTTTTTTGAGACAGAGTCTCGCTTTGTTGCCCAGGCTAGAGTGAGTGCCGTGGCGTCAGCCTAGCTCATAGCAACCTCAAACTCCTGGGCTCAAGCAATCCTGCTGCCTCAGCCTCTCGAGTAGCTGGGACTACAGGCATGCGCCACCATGCCCGGCTAATTTTATATATATATTAGTTGGCCAATTAATTTCTTTCTATTTATAGTAGAGACGGGGTCTCGCTCTTGCTCAGGCTGGTTTCGAACTCCTGACCTCGAGCAATCCGCCCGCCTCAGCCTCCCAGAGTGCTAGGATTACAGGCGTGAGCCACCGCGCCCGGCTTGAGTCCTATATTATTATTATAAGCTTTTTTGATAACAAAAGACTGATGGTGGTGAAATTATTGATGTCAGCCTTGTTAGGGAAATCACAGAGCCAAGTCATTTGCCTCTTTAAACCACTGTGTACAGCATCTTGTATAGTAATACAGAGTCCAAATTCCATAAAAGATATAGGAATCTAAGAAATGGATTTAAAATAAAAGATTTTTGCTCAGTTAGGGGTATGTTATTCACAGAAAGCAAGTTCATTGAAGGATCAGTTTTCTGAGTGTCCTTCAAATTATTAAACCTAATTTATGAAAAATGTTTTAGCTATTCATAAGGTCTATAGCAGTTTGATTTGGTTGGGTCATCAGAGCTTTAGAATGCTGTGGTAAGCCAGGTGTCTTCAGTTTCTTGGACTCTCACATTCTTGTCTTGCCCTTCAGGATCTTTTCTCTCCCTGCTAGTTTGCCTCTTCTTTAACAACGTCCCTCTCTGTGCCCCCTGGTCTCCCTTCCATCATGCCCCTCAGTTTCTTTCATTTTTCTTCTGGCAGAAGGGTCCCTATGAACAGGGAAGTGGGATAGAGATGAATTGAATATTTCTTAAAGTGTCATGCAAGCATCATTTGGCTCCAGGGAAGGGAAGTACATGACTGGGAGTTGGGATGGAAGAATTTTTTATCATGTACCCTTTTGAATTTGAAAACATTGAATGAAATTACTCTCTTGCCCAGTGCTGTCCAGTAGAACTTTCTGTGATGATGGAAATCTATATCTGTGCAGTCTAAGATAGTAGTCACCAGCAACATGTGGTTATTGAGCACTTGAAACATGGCTAGTGTGACTGAGGAACTGAATTTTTGATTTTAGTTTTAGTTAATCTGAATTTAAATAGCTATATATGGTTAGTGGCTGCTGTATTGAATGGCACTGATCTACTGAATAATTGTTTTCATTACCAAAAAAATCATGAAATAAATGTTAAGGATGTTAGGACAAAATAAAAACTGATCACCATGCTTAAAAATATGCAAAATTTATTTAAACTACCCATTTAATAAGAGTGCTTTATGTTTATAAATTATTAAATAGGATTTTAGTAGTCACTGAATGTGGCTATCTGTATGATTTCTTTCCCATGCCTCATTTTAGCAAACATTTACTTATTAGGAGACAAATCATGTGATTACTCATATTCCTTATGAATAAGAATGAATAATTATCAGTACTTTGAATCTGTGTTTAGAAATAATTTGTGTTTGAAATCAACCCCTATAGGATAGGAATTTGTGTAGTACAGAATGCATCTGCCCATATAAGTGGGTTTTATTTTTAAAGATAAGTTTAAAGAACCTTAAGTTACATACTGGTATACAAGTAACTAATTTTTATTTTGAAGTAGCTTTTATGTTTTCATTTGTATGTAATAGTCACATTAATTTTGCCCTTTTGGCTTTGTGTTGTGTTTATCTGAGATGCCATTGTTTTACTTAATTTTTTCTTAATTTTGAAAATTCATTTTTATCATCTTTAAGTGATGCAGTGGCCATTTCAGCTTGAAATTTTTCATTCTCTTTATAATTTCGTTTCATGCATGTGTTTTGTGTTTGTGACGGTGTGGTGTTACTTAGTCTGTAGAAGAACATGTGGAGCAGGTCAAACAAAACCACGTAGCAGAAGATTGCCACATCAAGGTAGTATTCCACGCTCTTGTATGTAGCTCATTCTTTAAAGTTCAAGGATCTAACGCCTCATCTTTAGTACTAACCATGACCTGCCCAGCTGGCTAACTACTCAGAGAACTAACTCATTGCTCCTATACCACCTCAGTGGCCTAGGGGAGGAGATGCTTCCCTGTGTTGCTTGCTCTACCTTGCCATTGGTTCTTCTCTTTCTTGCTCTCTATTCATTCCATCTTCACTTCTTTCACTTTTCCCAATCTCTTCATAAGCACAGCTATTTTATCTCTGCAGCTTCTTGATTCTGCCTCCTCTTTCCTTCCCATCACCTCTGACCCTCAGCCATTGTGCCGTCCTCTCATCAGTCTCCTTCATTCCTTTCTAACTGTCCTCTTCCTCTCCAGCTTCTCCTGACTTCTCTCATTACTCTTATTTCAGAGTGCTTCACCTCTTGTATGGTTTCTTTCTTTCTATGGCCTTTCCTCCGCTCTGTGCCTCTTAATGCGAACACATTCCTTTTGCAGAATATTTGCACACTTTTGGAAGAGCTAAAAGAAATAAATTACTAATGAAAATACATTAGCCATCTTTTGTAAGAGTTAATCAGTAACTTATAATCGCAGTGGAAATCTTTATAATTGGGGTGATTACAGGACATAAGAGAATTTAGGCAGATTTTCCAAAGCTAATTTTCAACACACTAAAGTTACTCTTTCCTTTTTTCTTCCTGTCGATGCTACATTTTCTTCTTATCCTACTTTTAAATTTTGTGAGATGTGCATATCTGTATATAGAGGTGTGCTGCAGCAACTAAAACTGCTGACAAATGTTTTCTAGGTTGAAGCTGATCTGGGCTATCCAGGTGGAAAGGCAAAAGTTATTCATAAGGAATCCGATATGATCATGGCATTTGCCGTTAATAAGGTAAAAGCTTTAGTCATTATAAAGAATATACTTCTTTTTAGTGAAACTACTTAAATCATTGACTCTGCCTTTGCTTTGTAGGCAAACTATAATGAAATTGTTTTGGCCTCAACACATGATGTTCAGGAACTTGATGTTACTTCTCTACTGGCCTGTCAGTCATACATATGGATTGGAGAAGAATATGACAGAGAATCCAAAAGGTTTGTTTCATAGTCAATTTTAAATGCAGTTTTCTTCAAAATAAGTACCCAGTAAATAGTTATGCACATAATTTAAATTACCTTGAAAAGTATATATATGTATCTTTCTCTTCATTTAGGTAAGAGACAAATGTAATTGGTTTGGCTGCCAATAAAAGGCTTTGGCTACCTTAATGAATAAGTTACTCTTTTACCATTAAATCCTGCAATATTCATAGTGTTTGAATCAGCATAATCCCTGACACCAAAGCCTAATGCTGACAACTGCCATTTTGACACTTAACCCCAAAGAAATGTCAGGAATTACACAATATTTGGTAAATTTATCTGATCTGCATAATTAAAGCAAAACAATATACACAAATACATTAATTAGACTAATTGATGAGTTACATTTACTGAGTAATCTTGCAGTGTTTCTTTTTGGTTGTCACCTGATAAGAATACCTTTTTTACAGATAAAAATATAGACAACTGTACTTTTCATTAAAGCTATGGATACTACACCAAGAATGTTCTGTAATACTTCACTATTTTGGAGGTTTCTCCGCCATGTTTGCTCTCCCTCTTGTTTTTCTATAGACTCCTAAAAATTTTATTTGCTTGGGAATGGTGCCCTCTCTCCTAGTTTTGTTGAATTCTTTCCTTTGTTAGTATATAACATAATTAGGCTTTAGTATTATGATGATAAATTAGTATATTATTCCAAGAAATCTTTAGACTCAAATTTCTATAAAATGTATTAATTTGATACATGGGATATCTGTACTTGAAGAGAACATAACTTCACATATGATCACAAGAAATTTTGTATTAAATGCTTTAAAAATAACATTTGTTTCATCTTATACAGCAATAAAGTTGCCCCCAAACATTAGCCTAAATTTATATTTTGCCTAAATAGAAAAAGTTAACCAGTACTAAAATTGACCATGATGAGGACTTGTACCTAAGTTTTCCTCAGATATTTAGTTTTTAAATAAAGAACATCCTGTGGGTAACATAAGAAGCTCTATAATTGGAATTTGTGTTAAGAGACTATAGAACTTTCACAGTAACACATGAATGTTTTTCACAGTTCAGATGATATTGATTATCGTGGTTCCACTACAACTCTTTATCAACCCAGTGCAACGTCCTATTCAGCAAGTCAGGTGCATCCACCTTCCTCTCTGCCATGGTTGGGCAGTGGACAGACTAGCACTGGAGCCAGTGTGGTACGTTGTTTACTATTAGGTATGGTTTCTGGATAGAGACTCTCTGAAAAGTGAGTTAAGATCACTGACATAAAAATGACCCCAGAGATCAGGGGCAGTGACCAATAGATGCAGTGATAGTAACAGCTAATATTTGTTGTGGCTTTCTTTGTGTCAGGTGCATGCTTTTTATCAAAACCACCCTAGGTGGTAGGTGCTATGACCCTCCATTGTCTTTTTTATAAATGAGCAAACTGAGACACAAAATGGCAAAGTTAAAGAGGAATTCATGTCTACTTACAGTGTTTGAAAGTACATCAGTAACATTCCTGTTAGTCACTGTAGTTGAGGGGGTCTCGTTCTAATGTTCTAGTCTGAAGAATCTGAAGGTATTCCTGATTGTCCTCAGGGACGGGCACTTGGAGGAGAGTTCCCTTTATCACTAGATGAAACTGCATGGTAACCTCACAGGCCAGGGCCATACCAGTAAGTGACTGTGCTTCCTCAACCTGTTTGGACAAGTGTTCTGTGTAAGTGGTTCAGAAAATCCATCACAGGGTTTGTCTCAGCAATAATCAAGTTGTAAGAGAATAAATGTTATCAGAATTACAGATGCTCTGAAGCTTATCCTTCCCCATGTCTTCTGAATACACAAAATAAAATTATTTTTAAATTATCTTCTTTTAAAGCTTATGAAAAGGAATCTACATAATGTTAAGAGAATGACCTCACATCCAGTTCATCAATACTGTAAGTATCCTCTCTCATTTTGAGGTTGATTTATAGAATAGAATATATTGAAAGTCTTTAACTCTTTAATTTCTTATTTTCTGATTTTCCTGTTGTGTTTTCAGATCTTACAGGTGCTCAGGATGGCAGTGTACGAATGTTTGAATGGACACGACCTCAGCAACTTGTCTGCTTCCGTCAAGCTGGCAATGCAAGAGTTACCAGATTATATTTTAATTCACAGGGCAACAAGGTTGGTTTTTGTGGGTTACTGCTAAATTCATCTGAAAATAATTATGGCTATTTAGGAGTAAATGGTTGATAAAGGTACATCTAAAAAAATTTCAGTGACTCTCCATTTAAACTGAGCAGGCAGTTTGTTGGAGCCTGCTTATATACCCTCTTCCAGTAGAAGAATAAATTCACAAAATTTAGTGTGTATTAATCTACCTAAAGATACTATAAATATTCTGTGAGAATGGAAAACTGCTTCTCTGAGTGTGTTGGTGATGAGCACAGTCAAGTGCTTGAGAGAAGCCTTCTAGTTTCTTGCTAAATTCTGTTACAGACGTTTGGAGGAAAACAGTGAAATGGGGTTAGAAAAGCAGTTAAAAGGTGACAGGGAAATTTTTAGCACTTGGACTTTCTTGGGAACTACAGCAGCGAAGACATAGTTGTAGGCAGAAAATTAAGTTGGGTCTGAGTGAATATCCTTTTCATGTGTTTTTACTTTTGATATGGATGCTAAGAAGCTGTGTGTAATACATCATTCTTACAGTGCGGCGTTGCAGATGGAGAGGGTTTTCTGAGTATCTGGCAAGTGAACCAAACTGCATCAAATCCCAAACCTTACATGGTAAGTATCACTCACATCCCCAGAGTGCGTACAGAGAGAACACTTTCGTTATGACGTGTCTGTTTCAGACAGTGAATCTTGTTGGTGGTTCTGTTGGGAAAGGGACAGTTCAGTCCAGCAGTCACAGTCTAGCAACAACACCCATCCTTGCCCGAGTTTTAGACTGAAATGACCTAAAAAACAATCTTGCTTTTCACCTTGAAGGGAAACCATCATAATTAGAAATATTTCAGGGGTTTTCCCTGTGTGTGGTCTAACTTAGGGTATGTTTTGCCATTTTGAAAACACTTCATAATGATGGAATTTTGTAGCGTGTATGTTAAGAATCAAGCAGGTTCTGAACATCTCTAATTTGCTCCAGACTTTACTTACCAGATTATAAAATAACCAACTCCAATGGGCCACTTCATTTATTAATCTAAATCATATTAAAATACTTGGTGATAAAGACAAGTATATCTTTACTTGATGGAGGTATGGTGGGGGGAAGATTGTGGGGGAGGGTGGAAGTTGTTACTATTCTGTGTGAAACTTCTGGCTTCACATATATGAAGGGAGGCTCAGAAAGCCTTGAAACTCAGATTTTCTACTACACACATGTTCTTATGTATATGAGATATTTTTCTTAAATATACTATAGATTGTACTACAATATCTTCACAGAAATGGAAGTAATCTTCGATTTATCCTTTTGCCTTCAGTGAGATCTATACCATGATAATTCTAGACAGAAAAAAGTACATTTAAGATCTCCTGACATCCTCCTTTTGGGCCCTCACTTCCAAATTCTGTTCATTCACCCGATACAAGAAAAGTTATTCCTGGCTCAGTAAATGGTTTCCCATACTGCTGGAACATCTGTAGGAGCCTTTTGGGGTAGCTGTAGACCTGTGGATTATTTGTAGGGCATCTTTGACAGCATCTTTATTATTGTCTTCCCCTGAGGGTGAGGGCAGGGAGCACAGAGGTGGCAAGGAGGTAGATGTTTGTATTTAGAGCACAAAGTTAATTTTACTTAAGTCCCTTGTACTGCAGCTTAAGACTAGATGGGTAGGTGTTTTCCTTTTTGGGTTATTATATGTATTTAAGGTCATTAGTACTAAAATTGTTTGATTGGGCTTTTAATATAATTGAGTGGCTTAAATTCATGTACTTTGGTGTTCTATTCTTACATAACCTAAAAAATTATAACCTTTAATTCTTCAGTTTTAAAAAATTTTTGGATAATAGCAAATAATATGCAAATAAGTTACTGTCACTTATTTTTTTATTCTAGACTGAGTTTTGAAAAGCTGTTCTTAGCTCATGCATGTAATATTAGAACTGTTTTTACTGTACCAAATTTTATTGGATTTTTAGATAACATCAGTTGCACTTTGTTTTCCATAGAGTTGGCAGTGCCACAGTAAATCCACAAGTGACTTTGCATTTATTACCTCTTCAAGTCTAGTTGCCACATCTGGACAGTCCAATGATAATAGGTAAGTTGACAGAGAAGCAAAAGAAGAAATAAAACTTGAGGCAGAAAGGTATTTTTGCTAGAAAGTATGGATTTCTATTTAGTAGGGTTAGAAAATTTCTATTTAGTAGGAATAAAAATGTTTTTATTGTTATAAATTTATCGTTTATAAATAATAAAAATGTATAAATAATAAAAATATTTTGTTTATTTATAATAAAAATGTTAGTAGGAATAAAAATGTTTTTACCAAAAAGAAAAATGCAAAAACAAAAATTACTCCTAAAGTAGTTTATCAGTAAACACATATAATTTTTATGTTAATGCTATTCACTTTTTTTTCATTGCTTTTAACACTCTTAGGTTCTTCAGAACTAACAAGCATCTGACACTCTGTAGCCATCATTCTCAACATTTCCTTTGACCTCACACTGTTTTCATTGGCAACACACTCCCGTGAATAACACCTGTTTCCCTGCATTGGTTGCACCTGGAGATATAGAAGCATCCCTTCTACTTAGAAAGTTATATCACAGTTTCTTGGGGTGAGGGGATGCAGAGACAGGTGGGACCATGTCAGACAGTGTAGTTTGATGAGGATAAATCTTAGAAGAGATGTGTACCCCCAGTCCCTGTCCCATCCTAGTTGAGAATCACTGCCCTATAAATATGAGTAAACAAAATGATAAGATTAAATAAGCAAAAATATTTGACTTGAAGACAGTTTATCCCTGGTATGACTTAAAACAATTATTTATGATATATTTTTGTTGTTTCTCTAAAAGAAATGTATGCCTTTGGGACACATTAATATCACCTGGAAACAGCCTCATTCATGGTGAGTGAGTTAATTAAGGTCTGTGGTTTTTAATACTATGAAGGAATGTTTTCCTGGTTTTATTTCAATTAAGCATTAACCGGATTGATTATTGACAGGTTGAAAATGGAGAAATATTTAAAATTCTACAAGTTAGACTAATATTCAGGTTAATTAGAATGTCTGTCTAGCTGCCTTGCTGAGGTAAATATGTATGATAGGAATCTAACTAGCTCAGAATAGTCTATGTTGTTTGTATTCTATTCATAAAATATGGTATGGATACTGGTGACAGTCATAATGCTATATAAAAAAATTAGTTGCAAAGTATTCATCGAGCTCAGAAGTGGGATCATATTTTAAAGAATTAAACCTAGCCATAAAACAAAGGTTAACCTTATGATAAGAGCTATTAATAGAAATTTAAACAAAAATATTTAAATGGTATTGTTTATGACAGTATTTGCCAAAACAGTGTCCTAATGATCTCTCTTCCACATAACACTGCCCCTAAAATCCTTAATGCTCAAATAAGTTTGGCTTAAGCGAAGTAGGTTTGTTTCTTTTTTCTTTTAACAGAAAGGTTTCTCAGTCTTAATATGCTGATGTGCATTTTGAAAGATGTAGCTACTTCTCAATTTTCATCACAAAATTTTTTCTGTGAATAATTGACATTTCTTAAAGATTTGCCACATATTAATTTGAGTCCTTGATCATATTAAAATGCACATACTACTGGGAAAGATAATGTCTTAACTTGTAACTGAAAATGTTCACACATTTTCACATAGTATAGTGTTTCAGTTACTTACCTGGGCAGAACTTTTGATGAGAGTACATGTCTGAGAGTACAGCACTAGGCTAGATTGGTGGGTAGGTATGCCATTGGGAAGCTCGGCCTTCTCTGCACAATTGCTTCTATATACTTAGGAGGCAGCATCACTTAGAGCTTGAGGTTTAACCTTCCTTTTTCTATGTGTGTGTTTCATATTGAGATTATTGATGAAAAAGGTTTTTTTCTGACATTACTTAGCATTTTTTTATACTTCAGTTATATGATTTTACAAATTCAGTGACTTAATAAATGTACCTTAGAATGAAAAATGCATCAATAATTTCTATGTTATTTAAATGTAGATTTAAATATTGTCAGAATTGCCAAGATAGAAATTGTTTTGAGAAAGTCTCTTGGTGTTTTTCTTCTTCAGGTTTCACATGTCATGATCATGGTGCCACGGTACTTCAATATGCACCCAAACAGCAACTCCTTATTTCTGGAGGTAGGAAAGGATATGTCTGTGTTTTTGACATCAGGCAGAGACAGCTAATTCACACATTTCAGGCACATGACTCAGCCATCAAGGCACTGGCTCTGGATCCCTATGAGGAATATTTTACCACAGGTTCAGCAGAAGGTAACATAAAGGTGAGTCTGTACCAGAGGTTAGAATGTGCTAAAAATTATCTTTATCTGCTGTCAGGACTTACTGGAAAAAGAAAACAGAAAGTCACCACAGTGTTTGAAATAAAGCCAAGCTTCATGGAGATACTGAATGTCTCTTAACACTCTGGCTCTTCCCCACCCCCCTTGCTTCTGTGTGGCTCTTTCCAAATGGCTATGGTCAAGAAAACCAGATAGTCAAGCTTATTGGAATCTCAGGTCATTGAACAGCTTAAAGAACTGTTTTGAATACAGTGTATGACTTTAATTAGTACATTTTTTGTGTGTGTGAGACATTAGTTTGACTCCTTAGAACAGGCATCCTCAAACTACGGGCCACATGCGGGCTGCCTAGCACATTTATCTGGCCCTCCGGGTGTTTTTGCCGCTGCTGCCTGTCCTGCTTAGCAGCCAACTAGTCCCAGGCCCACAGTGCACACTCTCCAACAGTCTGAGGGACAGTGAACTGGCCCCGTTTAAAAAGTTTGAGGACCCCTGCCTTAGAACCTTCCCCGCTCTCCCCACTCTGACCCTCAGTACCTGACTCGTGTATGGTTGAGGTGAAGTTTCTGGATGAGATAGTACAGATGCTCCTCAACTTATGATGGAGTTACGTTCAGATAAACCTATAGTAAGTTGAAAATATCACAGATTGAAAACGCACTTTTGAACTTATGGTATTTTCAACTTACAATGAGTTTTTCAGGACATAACTGCATCCTAAGTCTGTACACACAGGAGTGTACTGAATGCGTATCACACTGTCAAAGTTGAGAAATCATAATCGAGAAGAATAAGTTGAACCATGATGTGTCAGGGACAGTTTGTACTGTACTACTTTTACATTGCCCTAGGACCTAGCTAAGAATTAAGAGCATGTAATTGAATTAACTCAAATATTTAATTGAATTTAAGATGGGTTATATATGGTTAATATGAAACTACAAGAGGATGTGAGGAGAGAAATTTGAAAGAAGGGTCAGTGAAGTGTAAGGACAGTAAGTGAATCATGTGAGTGGTGTTATTTCCCAGTTAGATAAACTGTAAGGAAAGAGGCAGTGGATGGGGCAGTTGAGCTTTTAGTGAGATCACATAGGCCAAAGTAGCAGAAGTGAGGACCATGGTTTTGCTTTTGGTCTCTCTTTTTAATTTTTGTTTTCACTCTGTTTTAAACTAGGTTTGGAGATTGACAAGCCATGGCCTAATTCATTCATTTAAAAGTGAACACGCTAAGCAGTCCATATTCAGAAACATCGGGGCTGGAGTCATGCAGATTGACATCATTCAGGGGAATCGGATCTTCTCCTGTGGTGCAGATGGCACGCTGAAAACCAGGGTTTTGCCCAATGCTTTTAACATCCCTAACAGAATTCTTGACATTCTATAGACTTACAGATTGGGGTTTTATTTTTATATATACATTTCAATTAAAAAACACTGTAGTAATCATTAGGCAAGTCTGCTTTCCAAGCAGTTAACACACTGAAAACAATACAGAGAATCTCTGTGCAGAGTTGAATAGAGCCAAGCTGAGTGTTGTGTTGAGTATTGGCTATACAGGTTGGTAGAGTGAATGCGCATGTACCTTGTTATAACGCTGACATTCTAAAAAAATAAAAAAATCAACCCTAGTATTGTATGAAGGATAGCTATTCTTTATAGCATTTAGCAAACCTGATTCAGAAAATATTCGCAAATTAGTTACTTGAAACAGTGAGAAGGACCTTTATACCAAATTAAGGAGGAAAATGTTGCTGATTCAGGTTTTTCTTCCTGTTCTTATCACTGATTGAAGCATGCCTGCAGTCTCCTTCTCTGTGGAATGAAGGATAGTCATATGGTGTGTTAAGAGCTCTAGGCCACCAGAAAAACTTCTTAGCTGTGAAGCAGTGCACAGTGCCCAGTTCTCTGCCGTGAGAGGTCATTTCCATTCTTTCCTGCTGAATATTTTTCCTGTTAGTGTTTATACTGAGCTAGTACTGTAATTTGCAAATGAGTGCAAATTTAAATGCAATGTTTTCCTCACAATTTGCACATTCACATTTTTTGGACTGCTAGTTTTTCTATTTAAATATTTGCCTTCATGTTAGGAATGTAATACGTGAACATGACATATTTGTAGTTAACCAAAACACATCTTCTTAGTCCAGTTTAGTACTTTTTCTTTTCCTGTATTCAAAGTTAAATACCCAAAACATTTAAAGCTATGTTGAAACTACACCAGTAGAGCATTTCATGTCATAATTAAAAGAATGTTAGGCTTTTTGTGGCCAGTTAATAGTTGATGAGATTGGTGATATTATTTATTGCCACAGCCTACTGTATAAACTATGCAGAGTTAAATATTATTTGCTTGTAAAATATTAGCCAATGTTGTTATATTTGATGTATTTCCTTGGTTATGACCAAAAATATGTTCTTGAGCTATTGAAACTAATGTCTGTGTGTTTAATGTTTACCAGCAAATTGTCTCATCATGTTAATGAGAATGTTTAATGCCTGTGCAGTAAACAGTAAAATATAATGGCATAACAGTACCTTTCTCTGAAGATGATGTGATGTTCAGGCTGTGAAATACATATGTAAAAGAAAAATAAATGTTATTTGTTAGAGTTTTATCTTAGTTTGGTCTGTTTAAATATACTGCTATGGAATTCTTTGATACTGTTTTTAACAGGTTACTTTTAATTTGATAAGTTTAACTGTTAGAGAATTTTTACGCTATTAGGCAATTTATTCATTCACAGATATGTACTGAGTACCTTGTATACCAGAAGCCATTCTATTGTAGGAAATAGAATACAGTGGTGACGTAGACACCAACATGTCATAATCAAATTGCTTTAAACTAGTGATAAAGAGAAAAATCTTGGGAGCAGAAAAAGAAAACAGACACATTGCATACAGAGAAACAGAGATAAAGATGACAGCAGATGTCTTCCTTAAATAATGCAAATTAAAGATAGTGGAGCAACATCTTTAAAGTCCTCAAAGTGGGAGGGAGGAACTGTCGATCTAGAATTCTCTACCCAGTGAAAATATCTTTCAAAAATGAAGTTTAAATAATAGACATGCAAAGGGTAAAAAAAAAAAAGAATATCACAAGGCCGGGTGTGGTGGCTCATGCCTGTAATCCTAGCACTTTGGGAGGCCGAGGTGAGAGGATTGCTCGAGATCAGGAGTTCGAAACCAGCCTGAGCAAGAGTGAGACCCTGTCTCTACTAAAAATAGAAAAATTAATTGGCCAACTAAAATATATAGAAAAAAATTTAGCTGGGCATGGTGGCATATGCCTGTAATGCCAGCTACTCGGGAGGCTGAGGGCAGGAGGATTGCTTGAGCCAGGAGTTTGAGGTTGCTGTGAGCTAGGCTGATGCCATGGCACTCTAGCCTGGGCAACAGAGTGAGACTCTTGTCTCAAAAAGAATATCACCAGTAAAGCTGCACTATAAGAAATATGAAAGGAATGTAAACAAAGTCCTTCAGGGTACAGTGGCTCATGCCTACAATCCTAGCACTCTGGGAGGCTGAGGTGGGAGGATCACTTGAGTTTGAGACCAGCCTGAGCAAAAGCGAGACCCTGTCTCTACCAAAAATAGAAAAAATTAACCGGGCATGGTGGGACACACCTGTAGTCCCAAGCTACTCAGGAGGCTGAGGCAGGAGGATCACTTGAGCCCAAAGGAGTCTGAGGTTGCAGTGAGCTAAGATGACACCACTACACTCTAGCTGGGGCAACAATGCAAGACTGTCTCAAAAAAATAAAAAAAAGTCCTTCAATCAGAAGGAAAATGATACCAGTTGGAAATACAGATCTACACAAAGGAATGAAAATTACCAGTAATGATGACTACATAGGTAAATTATATACAAAGACTTTTTCCTCATTATTTCAATGTCTTCTAATGAGAGTTGTCTGTTTAAAGCACAAATAATAACGTATTTTATTTACAACATACATACGGGTAAAATATGACATCAGCACAAAGGCCAGGAGAGGAGAAATAGATTTATACTGTTGTAAGCATCTTACCTCTATGTGGTAGGGTATATCACTTGATGGTAGACTGTGATAAAGATATACGCTGTTTTAGGGGAGTTTGGGGAAAAGCAAGACACTCCCCAAAGACTAGGACTTTCCAGAGCTCATCCCCTCACAGAAACAGCAGTTTGAAAAACTATCCATGCATTCACAAAAGCTAAAGAAACCAGGTGAGAGATTATAGCACCTGAGCGTAACACAGAGATGGGAAAAGATGTACTGAAGATGGTAGGAAAGACGGTTTCACATTACTCATGTAAGCCTTCCCCCAACCCCAGGCAGCAAACATGGAGAGAGAAGGTGAGGGTAGTATTCACAAGAATGGTGCCTTGGACCCCAGCACTGAGCCTTCCCCAGTAAAATTCAGAGCTGGACAGGCCCCCATTCCCCATACTCCAGGCTGATACCTGTAGACCAAACCTCCAAGATCATCTGGATATCAGGCCTGATCCTGAAGCCCCAGGCACACCCAGTGATTCAGTCCTTGGGACAACCTCCAGGCTTGTTCTAGACTGGTCCCAGTACTGGGCCAGCCCCAACAGACTCAGGCTGGCCTTGAAGACTCACTCTCTAGGCCCATCCAGCAACAGGTAGGCCCCAGTGGACCTAGCCTCTATAGGCCTGCCTTGGTGCCAGGATGGCCCCCATGGCTCCAGGTTCTAGGCTGGTCCTATGGACTTGGCCTCTCAGGCCTGCCCCAGGGTTGGGTTGACCCCTTGGTCTAGACTGTTCCCAGTGCTAGGCTGGCTCCCACAGCCCCAGGCTTCAAGGCCTACTTCAATGCCAGGTTGGTCCTTGCAGCCCTAGTCAGTCTACTATCAATGGACACAGCCTCTAGGCCTACCCCAGTAGACTCAGGCTCCAGAGACCCTAGGCCTGCCCTACTGCTAGACCAGCCACAGCAGCCTCAGGCTCTAGGCTGGCCCTACAACCCCAGACTCCAGCCCAGCTTCCACAAACCTGACTTCCAGGTCCTCCCCAGCCTCAGGCCAGCCTTTACAGACCAAGGACCCAGTTCACCTCAGTGCCAGGCCAACCTACACAACCCCAAACCCCAGGCTGCCACCCATAGGCCCAGCCTCTAATCCTGCCCCAGAACTAGGATGGCAGCCACAAAACCTTTCACCAGGCCAGCCTCTGCAGCCCCAGGCTTTAGACCAGCTAAGTGCCAATGCTGATCCACATAACCCCAGCCTTTAGGCCCACCCCAATGCCAGGTAGGTATCCCTGGCCTCAACACCAGACCAGCACCTGCAGACCCCAGGTCAGTACCTGCTGACCCAGGGCCAGTGTGCCTCCATACCAGGCTAGTTTCTGCAACCCCAGAATTCAGCCTTCTCCAGCACCAGACTGGCCCCTATGATCCCAGACTCTAAGCCTGCTTCAGGACCAAGTCAGTACCCATAGACCCCAGGCCCAGGGCCTTCAGGCCTGCCCAGTGCTAGGCCAGTTCCTACAACCCCATGCTCAGGTATCTCAAGGCAGGCCTGCCCTAGTAGACCCTCATGCCAGGCAGTGAATTATTAAGCCAGGCACAGAAAGACAAATATTGCATGTTCTCACTTATACGTAGAATCTAAAACAATTGAACTCATAGATGCAAAGAATAGAATGGTGGTTACTAGATAATGGGGCTTGAGAGGAAAGGGGAGATGATGGTCAAAGGGTGAAAAGTTTTAATTAGACAGGAAGAATTGTTTTGAGATTTATTACATAGCATGGTAAATATAGTTTATAGTTTATAAGTTTATTTCAATGAGGAAGCTCATTGAAATCCAAGAGAAAAGGGAAGAACAACTCTAAGAAACCAGAAAAACAATTCAGGCAAGTTTACTAAAGAGATAGAGATAGATTTAAAAAAAAAAAAAAAAATAGAACTCCCGAACAGACCAATAACAAGCATTGAGATCAAAGCAGAAATTAAAAAATTGTGCCCCCCACCAAAAGTCCCAGATCAGATGGATTCACAGTGGAATTCTATAAGACCTATAAAGAAGAACTGTTACTCATACTATATAAATTATTCCATAACATCAAGAAGCCAGGGAATCCTCCCCAACTCATTCTATAAAGCCAGTATCACCTTGATACCAAATCCAGGAAAGGACACAACAACACCAACAACTACAGACCAATATCCCTTGTGAATATAGATGCAGATATTCTCAACAATATACTAGCAAACCAAATTCAACAGCACACCAAAAAGATAATCTACCATGACCAAGTGGGCTTTATCCCAGGGATGCAAAGATGGTTCAACATACTTACATCAATAAACACGATTCACCATATAAACAGAAGCAAAAACCAAAGAACTCATGATCATGTGAATCAATGTAGAAAAAGCATTCAACAAAATCCAGCACCCTTTCATAAAAACCCTTAACAAACTAAACACAGAAGGAATGTATCTCAAAATTATAAAAATCCATATATGACAAACCCACAGCCAACTTAATACTGAATGATGAAAAGTTGAAAGAATTCCCTCTAAGAACTGGAACAAAACAAGGGTGCCCACTGTCACCACTTCTATTCAACACAGTATTAAAAGTCCTAGCCAGAGCAATCAGGCAAGAGAAAGTATCCAAATCAGGAAAGGGTATCCAATTCAGGAAAGAGGAGGTGAAACTATTGCTTTTCACTAATGATAGGATCTTGTATTTAGAAAGTCCCAAAGACTCCACCAAAAGACTCCTGGAATTGATGAATAAATTCAGCAAAGTCTCAGGTTACAAAAATCAATGTATGAAAATCAGTAGCATTTCTGTATACTAATAACAGTCAAACAGAGTTAAACCAAAGATTCAATACCATTCACGATAGCTACAAAGAAAATAAAATACCTAGGAATATACTTAACCTAGAAGGTGAAAGATCTCTATAAGGAGAGCTATGAACACTGATGAAAGAAATCACAGATGACACAAACAAATGGAAAAACATATCATGCTCATGGATTGGCAAATTCAACATCATTAAAATGTCCATACTGTTCAACATGATTTACAGGTTCAATGCAATCTCCATCAAAATACCAGCATCATATTTAACAGATCTAGAAAAAATAATTCTATACTTCATCTGGAACCAAAAAAAGAGCACAAATAGGCAAAGCAATGTTAAGTAAAAAGAACTAATCTGAAGATATCACATTACCTGACTTCAAATTATACTACAAGGATACAGTAACCAAACAGCATTGTACTGGTATAAATGTAAAAACACAGAGCAATGGAACATAGTAGAGAATCCAGAAATAAAACCATTTACCTACAACCAACTGATCTTCAACAAAATGGACAACAACATACAGTGGGGAAAGGAACCCCTATTCAATAAATGGTGCTTGGAAAATTGGATACCCACATGCAGAAGAATGAAACTGAATCCCTCTCTCTCTCATCATACATGAAAATTAATTCAAGATGGACTAAAGACTTAAATGTAAGGCACAAAACCATAAAAACTCTAGAAGAAAATGTAGAAAAACCTCTTCTAGACATTAGCCTCACCAAAGAATTTATGATTGAGACCCCAAAAGCAAATACAGCAACAACAAAAATGGAATTT